ATGCACCCCATTTTTAGATATATTTATTTAGGGGAACAAGTGATTTTTAGAATTGAAGAAATGAATTTACATTCTAAAGGAAATTTTAGTGGATAAGTGCAGAATTGACTTTAATTTTTATCATGATTAAACCTATTTGTACATTTTAGAATGGTTATTGCTTTTGCAGAGAAAACAGACAAAATATTTTTTTGAGCTTTTGTCTTATAGTCTCAGGGTTTATAGTCTAGTTTTTTGTTTGTTTGTTTGTAGATTTGGTGGTAGTTTTTGTAAATAAAAATTGTCATTTTTGAAAAAAAAGAAAATATAGGCAATAGATAAGGGTATTGATAATAGACAAATTCTAGGGTTTTGGTTTTTTTGTTTATTTTTTGAAGGGGCGCATCTATAGCATCAATTGTCAGTGATGAAAATGCAAACCTGTGTTGATTTGTGCCACAGAAAATTTGTAAAAATGAGTAATCCAAACTGGTTTTTGATTTTTCTTTATACCTCATTTCCTAGCAAAACAGAAACACATGTTTCAGAAGCATCACAAATAGCTGTCAGGTCATGGCCTCCTTCTAAGGCCAGAATTATTCTTCCTCCAGCCAGACCCATGAGCTGTTTTGTCAGGTACCCAAAGCCTGTGAAACAAGGGATGGAAAGAAAAGGGCAAACATTAACAGCACAACTTAATTCCTTTCAAAAATTTAGAAACTTGAAATGAAAATGAATGAAACCAAGAGAACAAAACATGTTTACCATGAATTGGTAAACATGTTTGGACTGAAAGCGTTTACAGCTGTAATCAATCAATATGTAAATATCTTCATCAGGCCTATAGCCAGGATTTTGATTGGGGGGGGGGGGGAGTTTGATGGGGGGGGGGGCCGAGTCTGAGTGAAAGAGGGTCTATCCTAGCAAATCTTTTGTATCATTACCCCAATACCCCCATGCATATGGGATATATTGAGTATGGTGATCAGATCATGATATGAATAAACATAACAGTTTAAATAATGCACCAGTAAGGCCTTTTCGCGAACCACCATGAGAATTTCGGGGGGGGGGGGCTGACGCTCCCTAAGCCCCCCCCCCCCCCCTCAGTGCCTGATCTTCATCATTATTTCTGGGCAAGATCAACCTCAGGATCAATTGCACTAACCTATCACAACTGGGTTTCCTCTGAATGTTTTCAATGGTAATTTCATTATTCCTCACTGCAAACCAACTAGTTGTGATTTTTTTTTATCGTGTCAGGAGTGACTTGAAAAACTGCAAGTCGCTTCTGGTGTGAGAGAATTGGCCGTCTGCAAGGACGTTGCCCAGGGGACGCCTGGATGATTTTTGAAGTTTTTATCATCCTTGTGGGAGGTTTCTCACCTGCACGAGGAGCTGGAGCTGATAGAGGGAGCTCATCTGCCTCTCCCCGGATTCGAACCTGCGACCTGTCGGTCTTCAGTCCTGCCGGCACAGGGGTTTAACCCACTGCGCCACCGGGGGCTCCACTAGTTGTGATGAGACTGGGTGAAAAAGACTGTAGTACAAAAACCTACAACAATGAATTCCATGTAAAGTTGCCATCAAAGGTATTTCAGGTTTTGAATAACCGCACCACTTACTCCTTTATAGTTTGCGGAGATGAAAAGCATCTACAACCAGTATTGAACCAAGAAGTACTCTCTTCCAATTAAGTTTCTCAGTTCCTTTCAAAATGTTGTTTTGAATCATTAAATCCTATACAGATGGCATTTACTTGTCTCAGAGAAAGCTTTTACTGGAACAACATTGCTCCCCTGACAGAAACAGCCTGTTCAAATGCGAACCTACCAAAGATTTTAGGTAACTGTAAAGGGGAACACACTTTTCTTCTTGAGACAGTGGCTGAGGTATGCCAGCATACTTCCTTTTCGTGGAAGAAAACATTCAACTGCTAGGGTTATTATTATTATTATTATTATTTTTAGATTGGGCTTTGGGATTGTTGCTACTTTTAGTAGATTTTGCTGATGACTTTGCTGCTGCTTTTAATGATTGCATTCTTATGACTTGACTCACATACATAATTTTTAAACTAGCCTCCATCCCTGACAAAGGGAAGAAATAAGATATAGCGATTAGCAAATGAATCCAGAACTGAAATAAATTCTAAAAGCAAGTAAATATGCAAGCAAAAGTGAAATAATTGCAACTTGAAAACCTCAGAGGACTTACATTTTGCTGACAGATTATATCCTCCAAGTGGTGCAGGATGACCTTCAACTGCATCAAAGCCTGATGATACCAGCACAACATCTGGAGCAAACTCATTAGCAATAGGCATTACTACTGTTCTGCAACAAAAATAACAGTGAACACATTACTATGTTTTCTCCTTGAATTTATGGTGATCTGTTTTTAAGAGATCAATCAGATATTATTTTGCCCGATGCCACTTCTAGCAAAAAATGTGAAACAAATCAAGGGAAGGAAAGATTAGACCAGATGTGATCAAAAGGACTATGTCACACAGCGCAAAGGAACGTCTTTGAGTTATTTGAACTTCTTCAGTCTTTTCAACTTTGCCATTAGCATTCATGACCACAGTAGATTGCCCTCCAGGTTTATTTATTTTATTTATTTCCGGTATTTCTATCCCGACTCTTCTCTACCCCTGAAGTTGGACTCAGGATGATGTACATTGGCAGCGATTCGATATAAACAATTAAATATAGTAACCATTAAATACAAAAAACCATTAAACCATTAAAACACATAAACCAGTACCTAAAACATTAATTGAACAATAAAACCATTTATGAGTAGTTGCACAAAAGATTATATTTTAAACAGCTCTATCCCTTACGTGAGATTGATCCTCTAGTTCATAACTAACAATAATCCTTATTAAACTGGGTACGTGCCAACAAAATCAGTGAATCATAAGAACTTAACTATCTGTTTAAATCTTAATGGTTTCAATCTTACAGTATTGCCATGGAAACAAAATTAAAATGTTGTATTTCATTTACTTAAATCTGATTTCACCAAATAATTAGTGGCACGAAGAAAAAACATTCTTCATATCGTATGCATTGTTGTTAAATACCTTCAAGACAATGCTGACATGGTAGTTCTGCCATGTGTTTTTCATGACCAGATTTATTCAGAGTTGGTTTGTCATTACCTCCTTCTGAGGCCAAAAGAGCGTGATCTGACTAGTGGCTTGCTCTGCCTGATCAGAAAGTGAAATTGCAGTCTCCTAATATCTGAATCCAATACTCAAATTATAAGTCAACGTTGGTTGTAATTGCAAAGTGTAACAAACATTGAAAAGAAATCAGGAATCCAACAACTGGTCTTTACATTCTTCATGTGGAAATCCTATTGTATTTAATTTGCCAGTACTAGGAACACAATAATGGATCTGATCTAGCAGGGGAGTTCCAAGTTGTTACATTTATAATAATAAAATTGAGGCATTCACATACTTTATATTGGGCTCCCTTATTTCAAAACCAGGCACACTCCAAAAATTTCAGTGAGAAGGATTTTTGAAGGTAACCGAAATATCAGTAGATACAATTAGAAATCTGTTGTATATCAATTCAAAGTTCTCAGAGCAGTAACATCATATTCCCGTGTATATGTTGAAAGATTTTTTCTGCCCCCCCCCCCCCCGAAATTCTCATGGTGGTCCGCGAGAAGGCCTTACTGGTACATTATTTAAACTGTTATGTTTATTCATATCATGATCTGATCACCATGCTCAATATATCCCATATGCATGGGGGTATTGGGGTAATGATACAAAAGGTTTGCTAGGGTAGACCCTCTTTCACTCAGACTCAGCCCCCCCCCCGAACCAAACTCAGCCCCCCCCCCCCAAACAAAATCCTGGCTACGGGCCTGGTTCAGATGTAGACAGCAAACATAGATGTAGCTTAGCAATACAATATACCCATCCATTTATTGTAACTCCTCAAATAAACAGATCCTTTCTTAGGTTGTTGTATGTTTTTTTGTGGCTATATGGCCATGCTCTGTGGCAAGCATCCTCACAACGTCAGGAGAGAATGCTTCTAGAACATGGCCATATAGCCCGAAAAAACCTACAACAACCCAGTGATTTCGGCCATGAAAGCCTTCGACAATACATTGAAGATCCTTTCTTCTTTAGCTCTTCTTAAGTGTACTCTCTTTATGCATATTTTAAAAAGAGTGAAAAGATTTGTTACATTCCCTAATGTTGGCTTCAACACTGGCTATCGAGTTGATTGACTTATAGACAACTTCTACATGATATACATGATCTCACTACTGAAAGGATTTCCAATACTAAAGTATCAGAGAAGATGTGGAACTGCAACAACAACAATTCTTTATTGATTAGTCAGTTTTGACCATATCAAAACATGCAAAACATACACACTTGCCCATACATACAGTAAAACCATATATGAATACAAGGCATCCCGGCCTACTGGCCTGTCAACCCACTCCTAAATGATTGTGCAACTACAAGATAAAAAATTAAGATTAAAAATTGATTAATTCCTTAAAGTAGGGTTTGGGCAGGGGCGCGGGTAGGTAAAACTAGTGGCATGTCCATATTAAGTTTTTAAGTTTGAATTTTGTTGATGGCAGCAAGGTCACCTCTCTCTGCTTCCATCTTCTCGCGGATGGCTAGTGCTTTTTGCGTAAAAAGGGTCAATTTTTTTTACCTGAACCCTATAGGAGGATGTGCAATTTCTCCTTATTCTCTAAGTAAGTATGATTCTCCAGCAGAGGCTCTAGGTAGTAAGGACATTTATTGTAGTAGGGACATTTTAAGAAAAAATGTTCTGAGTCCTCCACTTCTGCATCTACCTCACGGCACCCTCAGGTTTTCCTCGTGTAGGGAATATTCTGGTGTCGTCCCAACTTGGACTTAATGTCGAGCTGCTCAAATCTAGCCCGGGTAAAACGTTTTCTAATATATAGTGGAAGTATAAAAGAGAAGTAAGGTTCCATGCCCACATCACATTTAAATTTGGCCAGGTACGGAGTGGCTCTAGCTTGCACTATGATCACACTGTTCAATAGAGAAAAAGTTGCGGGCCTGAAAATAGTTGTTCTTTTATGATTTTGGGGTGCTGAAAATGAAAATGACATTTAAAAATGTATATTGGCTCTAGTTTTTATGATATAAGCAATCATGTGATCACGTATGGTTGAAAAAATGCATGTTGCGACTTACACTATGGAAGATTCTAGAATACTCTAGAAAGTTTGATGACGCAGTATTAGTGCCGTGTGCAAAAGCCAGAAAGCCCTATATAAGGCCAGACTTTTGAATGGTGAGGGTCAGTCAGTTGAAGACTGAGACAGTATCGTTAAACATCGTTTTACATTGTTCTTTTTACTGTAGTTATGCCTCGCACGTGTGTAAATAAAGCACTATGGAAAAAAGATATCAAGGCAAATGGACTCCGTCAATGCTGTCAGACTACTGCTGGAGCATTGTAAGAGACAATCCTTTCCTTGAATACAAAAGAAAAGTCAAGAGAAGCAAACAGGATAAAAACTAAAGTCACGATTAAAGCGACATTTAAACTTTCAGACTTTTCAACTGCATTAGGCCTACTAATATAGTTTCTTGCTGCACAAACATAAACAATAGACTAATTAAATAAATATTTCATGTATAAACTATTGGCAATATAATTTGACTAAAATTTAGTAAATATTCACGGTTTATATACATGCAGTAAGGTTAGGCGCATTATCATAATTATTAAAGAATTACCTATTGTGGAGAAAATTGAAATAGCTGTTGCATAAAAACCAGAGCCAATTAACACATTTAATTATTATATTTGAATTCAGCATGTTAAATTTATTAAGAAACGGCACATTTCGTTTCCGTAACTGAGAAAAACTGAAAATTTGTGAACAGTGTCATTAGATCATTTTGTGCAGCAATGTCGAGAGCTCTTTGATATACAATTGAGCATACATTTGCCCCAAAATTTATTAACTCGTGGAAGGCAAAACCTAACCTACTGACTGTGTGACCAAATCTGCTAAGCCAAGATGACCACTCTTTGTGGTTTTCTTGTTCTAGAAGGCATATGGCTGGGAGTCTGTGTGGTTGCATTTGTCTTATTTTGTACCACCAATTGATCTGCCTCTTCAGAATTACAGTGGAAATTGGGGGTACTCCCATCTCTGCTCTCACTGCAGCTGACAGGGATGATCTCTGCAGCTGACAGGGATGGAACTGCAATAGTGGTGCAAATTTTGCTCCCAATCTGGTTGATTTTCTGACTGAGACTCTGTCTGGTAGTTATCTAGAGTTTCAATTTGGAGGGGGCAGGATTGGTCTGTGTATACAGTGTGATGTACAGACTTGAGGAGCACATAAGTAAGGAAAAGAGGATATAGAAAGGGAAAGATGATAAAGGAGATGGAGTAGCAGTTCAATAAGTGGGTAGAAAACACTTGCTTTTCTCAGACTTTTATTAGAGGCAGTCTTCATGTTCAAAAGTGATAATGTATTGACAGTCCTAAATTTGGTGTGGTGATAGCAGTACACTTCACGTGATGTGAACGAATACTGATATTACTTCCAGTCAAGCTAATGTCTAGTTTCACGAGAATGAATAACTTTACTGCAATGTTTAATTCTTGAAGACATTCTGCAGCTAGAGGAACTTTTCACAGACATGTACAATGTGGCCAGGTAATCCAAGAGTTAAAGAAAAACGTTTTTATCTTTACCTAACTCAAAAGGATTTTCACTGATTCATCTGAAGACTTCAAAGTGTTTGAATTTGGTATTTGGACTGGTTTGAATTAGAGCTCAGTTCCCCATCCTGAATTTCCAAGTTCACAGTGAAACTGCCTGTTGCTTCTGGATTTCATTAGGGCCAATTTTCTTCTCTTCATCTTTTAGTTTGATCCCCTGGAAACGCAACGTGGCATTCAATCCACCAACATAACAAGGTGCTGCCTTTGAGGCATGCATTGTCTCATAAGACTGACAAAAAAGCACATAGTCTATTCCACACACTTTTCTGCTTCTCTGGGGACTATAAATTGCAAACTTCAAAGCCTACTTTTACATTATAATCAATAAAAGTGAAACAGAAAAGGGGTATTCAAAGCACCTGGTTAGGATTGTCAAAGGTCACTTGACAATCTATTATCATGGAAAAAAACTTGGCACAAGATTAAGCAAGTCTCCAATAGAACTTCCAGATTGAAAATGTATGCACTCTGTAGTTGTATTTCAAGAATGTGATAAGCAACTTTTTGTTTGTAATAGACAAATTCTTTGCTCAGAAAGGTACTTGTTTTTCCCCACATTAAGAATGACAGCTTTGTGTCAACAGTAGTTCCACCTCTAGAGCCATAGGAATAGCCATCCAAGACTGCTGTATTTCTATGAGCTTCCTGTGCTTACATCGTAGATGGCATCATGATATTGTACAAGAATCATAGAATAGCAGAATCATAGAGTTGGAAGAGACCTCATGGGCCATCCAGTCCAACCCCCTGCCAAGAAGCAGGAATATTGCATTCAAAGCACCCGTGCTCTGACTTATAAGAACTGCTTTTGTGCTTTGCTACTCTGCTGCTGAATACGCATACCCAGTGTGGAAAAATCTCACATTATCACAGGATGTCTACGCCCAACACCACTGGAGAAATTATATTGTTTAGCCAGTATTGCACCACCTGATATCCGCTGGGAAGTAGAAGCAAGCAATAAAAGGACCAAGGCATTGACATCTCCGGCCCAGCCTCTGTTCGGATATTAGCCTGCATGCCAATGACTTAATCAAGAAACGGCTTCCTAAGATCTGCAGAGATACTCGCAGGAACACTTCAACAAGCGAGAGTCCAGAAGTGGCAGGTAAAAACCCGGAACGTCAATCAGTGGTTAATACCAGATGATAAAACTCCTTCCTGGGCACACAGAAGAGTGGGTGACTTGGAAGGTGCTGAACAGACTGTGCTCTGGCACCATAAGATGCAGAGCCAATCTTAAGAATAGGGCTACAAAATGGAGTCTGTGATATGCAAGTGTAGAGAAGAGCAAACCGGTGGCACAGTGGGTTAAACCCCTGTGTCGGCAGGACTGAAGACCGACAGGTGCAGGTTTGAATCTGGGGAAAGCGCGGATGAGCTCCCTCTATCAGCTCCAGCTCCTCATGCGGGGACATGAGAGAAACCTCCCACAAGGATGATAAAACATTAAAACATCCGGGCGTCCCCTGGGCAATGTCCTTGCAGACGGCCAATTCTCTCATACCAGAAGCGACTTGCAGTTTCTCAAGTCACTCCTGACATAAAAAAAAAGCAGTAGATCCCCAGCAATAGAGGAAAATATACCCAGAAGTGTCATGCAGCACGTAATCCTAAATCGTCTTATCCTCTGAAGCAGGTAGGAAGCTACCCCACAGGATGCCCAGCTTGGTTCCACTGTGGTGGTGACACAAACCAAACTCTTATTTTCAAATGTAGTGGAAGACAATTTTTCACTTGCTTGGAATTGGCAGAAGCTCTAGTAATCAAAAGACTGAAAAGCATGTTGGCACCTTTCCATGAAATAACCCACACACGCTCCTGCCTGCTGTTAATTCTGCAATAGGGCAGTGGATAAGAAAACTATCAGATGGTGCAACATGGGAACTTCGTTTACAAGGAATACTATTGAAATGACATATTCTACTTGTCTGTAGGATGACTGGCACAAAAAAAATGTTAGACAGACATTTTCTTCAGTGGAAATTCATTTGTTGTTGGGTTAGAAAACTGTTTAATATTACAATTAATACAAGGTGCTCCTGCAAATGGACAGAAATACAACAACCCCCCCCCCCTCATCTCCTATTTTTTATTCAAAATAGGAGATTCAAAATACTGACCCCCCCCCCCCCCCCAAAACATTCTTTTGTCCTGGAAGTAGCAGTATTTTTAAAACTCTGTTGCTTACTCTATCTTCTCCTTTTTTGGAGCAAGTAGCAGCTATTCAAAACATTCTGCTTTGTGTGAGCATTTATTTTTTAGCTCTGTGTGGTTAGGTATTTTAGAATTCCCTTTATTCTGAATCTACAAATATGGAGCATTTTCATACTCTGCAGCATGTTGAAATTCCTATTGGGGTCATAAAATGTAATGAAGTGTTGTTGTTTTTTTAAAAAAGAAATGCTTGGACAAGGATTTTTTTAAAAGTCTTATTATAGCATTTTTACAGTATAAGATACTCAAAGTAGTTCACTGCCTCTTTTTACATAGTACTAACGGTGTTAACTATAGTGCTACTCATGTCGTGTCTGAGAGATCCTCTGTCACCAATAACTTCTAGTGCTGATCAATAGCTGCTTGTGTTAACAAAAGATTAAAAGGACGAGGATTAAAATCAAAACAAACTGCTTGAAACAGTAATATATTTTCTAGAGTGCAATTCTCCTTGTCTTACTCAGTAAGGCAGGGCTTCTTGGGGAAAGTTGATTCCTATGGGTTGCTTGTTGCCTATCCTTCATCTAGCACATTATGTATGTAAGCGTTGTAACTGGGCATCCATATTGCAAATCGTTTTTGTCATCTTCTCTCTGCTGTTTAGTTCTTGTTGGGAAGCCACTAGATACCTCACTGTCCCTATGGCATACCTAACAGACCTGGAGGTGCCCAAACACCAAAGGGCTTTTACCCTGACAAGATGCCTTGCCCTCCCATTGGCTGTATTGGAGGGAAGGTAATGGAAGACCCCCTTCAAGCAGAGACTATACCCCTGTGAGTCTGGTCATGTAGAAAAAACTGAGCACGTGCTTCTTCAATGCATGTTCTACAGAGATCTTAGAACTAATCTCATTACACCATGGCTTCTAAAATACTCAGGGTGCAGAGAAAAATATTATTCCACCGTGCTGCTTTCAGACACAACAATAACTTACAGTATTGCTAAGTTCTGTACTGCTGCATTTAAAATGAGACAGAAGATGATTAATCCCACAAGGTAAGACCCTGTTGGGAATGTAGTTAGAGCAACATGTTACAGCTGAAATGCTACTAGACTTGCAATGTGCCCTCCCTCCCTTCCCTTTAGTGCCCCCTCCCAGTATTTTTGACCCCTCCTATCAATCTCTTCCCCCCCCCCCCTCGGTTCCATACCTGTTACAATAACCTGTGTTTTAAAATAGGATTTTAAAATGTCTTCTAATCTACTTTTAAATAACTGCTTCACTGGGAAGTTGTCCTTCTGTTCAGCAGTGGAACTCTCTGCCCCAGAGTGTGGTGGAGTCTCCTTCTTTGGAAGCTTTTAAAGAGAGGCTGGATGGCCATCTGTCGGGGGTGATTTGAATGCAATATTCCTGCTTCTTGGCAGGGGGTTGGACTGGATGGCCCATGAGGTCTCTTCCATTCTAGGATTCTATGTTTCTATGATTCATTCCCTTCTGGAAAGATCACAGCATCATGGACCTTTTCCATGAAAGCATGGTTGCTGGCATTAACTCTAGAAATGCACCATGAAAAAAAAACTGGTTAAAATAGCCCATATAACCTTACAGTCCCAAAAATCATATGGCACAGTGTTATTATAGTATACAGGAAGTCGTACTGGACTTCCTAAAATGCTTACCTATTGCGAAACACTACTGACAATAAAGTGTATTATAGTAGTAACTAAACATTATGCAGAACTACAGCAGACCTTCCTTGAATACCAGCTGAACTTCTTTGCCAGTCTGGATCAACTGTACACGCGCCTTCCATTCAAAGAACAAAGGATACACGGATTATGCAATTTACCTAATTCCTAGAGCTTTGCTTACAGACTGAAGTTAAATTTTGCTGCATGACATTATGCATTCCAGACTGTAATTTATGTAACTATTTCCCTTTGAAGAAATGTGAGAGCAAGGGTTATGGTTCTGAGAACAGTAGTTCCATCAGCTATGTATTTCATCTGTAAACAAATGTTATTCTACTGCATTTAATTCATTTAAATTCAAGGAATGATACCAACACATCTATCAGAAGTGATGGAAAGAAGTAGTAAGTAATACATACATACATACATACATACATACATACATAAGTAACATACATACATTTGCAACATAGAACACAATAGATTGGTACTAACAAATCATTTTCTTTGACACACAATTATTCTAAATTGTCGGAAAAGTCCTACGAAAGCTAAATTGTTTATAGTAAATGAAATCAATGGTTACTGTTCGCACTGTACATGGTAACTGTCACCTTTAGAAAATTATGTCATATAGCAAGAATGTATATTAAAAGTGATTTTCAAGAAGATCATGAATAATACCAACAGTTGGGCATTCAAATAATATATTTAATACTTCACAAAGGAACCTATTAAAGTGAAATAAACATATCAATGAGCAGGTGAAAGATCCAGCTTTCATTTTGTTCCTAGTACAGTGACATCTATTTAAGCTGCAGAAAGTTTCTAATTTTGAGAGAAATAATGCCATGATAAGCATAGAGATCTGAGAATTACCTGAAAGCAGTCATGTATTCTGTGTCTCCCATTGGCAGATCAAGACCACCAGTAAATGCCATATTAACATTAAAACCAGCACCTGGTCCTATGCCAACCTAAGAAGGGGAGAGGAGTGAGAGAAAATAGCAGGTTATAAAGTTGACAAATATTGCTCGGTATGAAACTACCAGTATTTCCTCAGCAGCACCCCTACTAATTTTTAGCTCTTGCTTTGTAAAAAAAGATTTAGTATTTCCCTTTAAAAATCTACAGGCTGGAAAGGCAGAAAGGAGATGCTAGGTGGCTGGTGCTTTTAATTTTAAATTAGGATATGTCTTATATTTGTGGAGTAACATTACCATGCATTTTTTTTTTAAAAAAATGTTAGTCTCTGGCTGAATGCAGTGCTGATTGGATTCAGAAGTACAGCTTTTAAATAATGTCCCCAATTTCAAGTTATATTCCTGTCATTGAAAGTTTAAAATTGGTTGCTGTAAGTTTTTTCAGGCTATATGGCCATGTTCTAGAGCTCTAGAACATGGCCATATAGCCCGAAAAAACTTACAGCAACCTAGTGATTCCGGCCATGAAAGCCTTCGACAATACAAAGTTTAAAATGTTTTAAAATTAGTATGTGCATATTTTAAAATGTATTTTTCAAGCTGACCAACAACGTTAAACCTCTTGATTTAACCCTTAATACTTAGATTAAAGTGAGGGATTTTTTTTGTTGAATTTTAATGTGTTCTGTTTTTATGCTGACGCTGAAATATTTTCTGGGATGAAGTCATGAAATACAAAATTGTGTAAAGATAAATGACTGAATAAATAAAACCCACTGTCACTGTAGCTTTATGAACAATGAACAATAAGTAAGGAAATGAACAATAAGATTAATTTTTTCAACAAAAAAAAAAATCCATCCCCAGGCTGCACACCTGTCTTGTTAGGAATCAACAACATACGAGGGGTATTTTTAAAGTAAGGTCCGTTTTGTTGTAGACACTAGTAGTTCGTGCGCATACTGCAACGAGCGCGTGCGTTGTGTACTCGGGAACAACTGTGCTCAGTTTCCGCTCTGTAGTTAACCTGTACGGTTCTGTTCTGTGCTTTAAAAATGTTTAAGACTATCAACTCACCCGCCGCATGTGAGGTTCGCTCAGTGATACGGTTTTTGTCAGCAAGGAACCTGCCTGCTGCAGAAATTCATCGACAGATTTGTGAAGTGTACGGTGATACTGTTATGAGTGAAAGCAAAGTGCGTAAGTGGGTACAACAATTCAAAGATGGCCGTGACAACGTCCATGATGAGGACCGCTCCGGTCGCCCTTCTTTGATTACAGACGATTTGGTGGCTTCAGTTGAAGCGAGGATTCGTGAGAACAGGCGCTTCACAATAACAGGTCTCTCAAACGAATTTCCTGACGTGTCAAGATCAGTGCTTTACAACATTGTTTCTGAACACCTAAAGTTTAGGAAACTGTGCTCCCGTTGGGTCCCGAAACTCCTAACAGAGGACCACAAAAACCAAAGATTTGAGTGAACTCTTGGTTATCGGAGCAGGCGGCAAGTTTTTATGAAGAGGGTATTTTAAAATTGGTTCAGAGGTATGATAAGTGTTTGAACAAACTTGGCAACTATGTCGAAAAATAGAGTGAAGTATGTACTTTCTGAAAATAAATTAACTTTTTTGAAATAAATTTTCGTTGTGTACTTATGTTCAAACGGACCTTACTTAAAAAATACCCCTCATATAATATCAATATGCAATAGTTCTAATACAATAACCTACAAATAACTAATAACAAAATCTTCAAGATCATGCATACAAATAATTAAGTTTGAGTTTAATTTATAGTAAGGCATTGGTTACATTTGACTCCATCTGACCTCTGGAGTGGATAGTGGATTAGCATGTAAAATAAATAATCCAATGCTGGCAGTATGCAACTAAAATCACTCTTCTACAGATTTTATAAGGCAGTGATTTCACTAAGTTTTATTTTATTCCAGAATATGATAATTCCAATGAATTCAAGGTCTGTTTCATGCATGCGTGACCGCATCTCTGTTTACAAACCCGCACGTTCCCTCCGATCATCTGGAGAGGCCCTGCTCACAATCCCACCTGCGTCGCAGGCACGTTTGGTGGGGACGAGGGACAGGGCCTTCTCTGTGGTGGCCCCCCAACTCTGGATCTCTCTCCCCAAGGACATCAGACAAGCCCCGTTGGCCGTCTTTAGGAAGAGCCTGAAGACCTGGCTGTTCCAGTGTGCCTTCCCAGAATAGGAAACTCCTGGCTTCAAGTCCCAAATGCACTTTGCTAGAGATTCAGGATTATCTGCACATTGCACCTACCTCCAAATACCTCTACATATTACCTGTCAAGTTCAGCACTTTTTAAATTTTGTCCATTACATTTGGCCCGGCCTTTAGGTTTTAATTGTGTCACGGTGTCATTGTTTTACTGTTTTATTGTTTTGCTTGATGTTTTATTATTTGCTTATGAGTTTATTGTGCATTGTATGTTGTTGTTTGTCGGCGGCCTTGGCCTTTGTAAGCCGCATTGAGTCCTTCGGGAGATTTTGCGGGGCATAAATAAAGTTAATAATAATAATAATACTCTCATTCATAGCTTACATCAGTAAATGGGCAGAAACACAGGGCAGCGGAAGGAATGCTTCTCTCTCTCATAGTTATGAACACCATAACATTGAAGATATTTGATTATTACACTGTTTATCATTCACCTTCAATTTTGCAATATGCACACATTTTCTTCAGGTAGAGGGTGCCCTCTGCTGGTGGGAAAAACAAGACCCTAAGACAAATCAACACTAAAAACCCTGATTCTAAACATCCGGTTTTTTTTTTAAAAGATACATTAACCCTTTTTTAAAAAAACCAAAATGGTGAGGTAGTTAATTTCCTCTTATCATGTTATTGTCTTAGTAATATTTGTTTTAGCTGCTCTTGATTTGCAGGCAAAAGGATGAAATATGAAAACTGTTACGTTGTTGTTCTATGCCATCTTGTTCTTTCAAATGTTTCGTGACCTTAAAGTTATCTTATTTTGGCATGACTTGTTCAGAGGGGATTTTTCTTTGCCTCCTTCTGATGCTTAGAAAGTGTGACTTGGCCCAAGATCACACAGTAATTTGACATAGGTGAGCAGGAATTCAAACCATGGTATCCAGTCATAGCCCAGTGCTATGACTCTGGATACCAGAATGCTGGATACTCAGCGTGCTGAAAGAAGCAAAGACCACCAGCATTGAAGTGATGGTCCTCCGCCATCAACTCCGCTGGACTGGCCATGTTGTCCGGATGCCCGACCACCGTCTCCCAAAGCAGTTGCTGTACTCCGAACTCAAGAACGGAAAATGGAATGTTGGAGGACAGGAAAAGAGATTTAAAGATGGGCTCAAAGCCAACCTTAAAAACTCTGGCATAGACACTGAGAACTGGGAAGCCCTGGCCCTTGAGCGCTCCAGTTGGTGGTCAGCTGTGACCAGCAGTGCTGCAGAATTTGAAGAGGCACGAATGGAGGGTGAATGAGAGAAACGTGCCAGAAGGAAGGTGCATCAAGCTAACCCCGACCAGGACCACCTTCCACCTGGAAACCAATGCCCTCACTGTTGAAGAAGATGCAGGTCAAGAAAAGGGCTCCGCCGTCACCTATGGACCCACCCTCAGGATACCACTCTTGGAGGACCATCATCCTCGGACTACGAGGAATCGCCTAAGTAAGTAAGTAAGTAAGTAAGTAAGTAAGCCCAGTGCTGAAATCACTACATAAAATGCACTTCAAAGAGTAGAAAATAGATTTCCCCCGTCCTTTGAATTGCATTAGCATTTCTAGGATTTTCTTGATTGAGGAATTTCTAAGACGATAAGACAGTTATTACCACAAATGTTACACATTTTCTTAACATTATTACCTCATCGGGAGCACCACTGCCTGGGAAGAAGTTTCCATCATCATACCGATGTAGTGAAATATAAAGAACATTAGGATCATTGTAGAAAGCCTGCTGAGTACCATTTCCATGGTGCACATCCTTTGGGGACAGAAATTACATTGTATGAAATGTGCTATTACATAAGTGACTATTTAGATTTAAGTAATGGCAATCGCAACTCCTCCCCCCCCCCCCCAAGTAATCATGCTGCAAATTGCTAAAATTTGAAGTTTAAGGGTACAGGCATCCATATTGCATCCAATGATTTCACAGGGATCAGCTTATGAGGAAGTGCTGAATACCTCCATATTTACACCTTTCTGCAATTAAGGCACTGCACATTATTTCAAAGGCTCTTTGTATCAGTTAACTCTGTTTAGTTGATAACGGTGGGTAATGCGGCAACAGGAACTCTTTAAAATCCTGTAGGGCAGTGGTTCCCAAACTTTGCTTCTTCAGATGTATTCAACTTCCATAAGCGCTACAGTCAGCTTAGCCAACAGTCAGTAAATATGGAATCTGAACTCCAAAGTGATTTCACTTACCCAGTCCACAATAAGTATTTTGTTCACATTCAATCTCTGCTGGAGAAGCTTGGCTGAAATCGCCACAGAATTAAAATAGCAAAAACCCCTGTAAAATAATGCAGTATTTTAGGTACAGATGTGGAAAATTCATTTCCAAATTGCAACATCGTTTTCAAACAGTAATGACCTTTTCTGAATTATCTTTGCAGCTACTGCAGAATGAGGAAACGGGCATCTTTTGCTCAGATACATCAGTGGCACTCTAGAGCAGTACGTGTGAAAAACATCTTGGGGTCCTCATGGACAACAAGTTAAACATGAGCCAACAATGTGATGTGGCAGCAAAAAAAGCCAATGGGATTTTGGCCTGCATCAATAGGAGTCTAGTATCTAGATCCAGGGAAGTCATGCTACCCCTCTATTCCGCTTTGGTTAGACCACACCTGGAATATTGTGTCCAAGTCTGGGCACCACAATTGAAGAGAGATAGTGACAAGCTGGAATGTGTCCAGAGGAGGGCGACTAAATGATCAAGGGTCTGGAGAACAAGTTCTATGAGGAGCGGCTTAAAGAGCTGGGCATGTTTAGCCTTCAGAAAAGAAGAATGAGAGGAGACATGATGACCATGTATAAAAATGTGAGGGGAAGTCATAGGGAGGAGGGAGAAAGTTTGTTTTCTGCTGCCCTGGAGACTAGGATGTGGAACAATGGCTTCAAACTACAAGAAAGGAGATTCCATCTGAACATGATGAAGAACTTCCTGATTGTGAGAGCCATTCAGCAGTGGAACTCTCTGCCCCAGTGTGGTGGAGGCTCCTTCTTTGGAAGCTTTTAAACAGAGGCTGGATGGCCATCTGTCGGGGGTGCTTTGAATGTGATTTTCCTGCTTCTTGGCAGGGGGTTGGACTGGATGGCCCATGAGGTCTCTTCCAACTCTATGATCCTATGATTCTAGGTCCTCAGGAAGTTAATGAAAATCAAGATTTTGTTTCTCTGGCATAAAGTTCAGTTTTGAACATGCTCCCTAAATTCCCTCTGTGCCATCAGCAGATTAAGACAGCCTTGATGCACAGACACATATAAATATCTGTAAAAAGCTAACACTGTATCTTCATTTATGAGCATTACTATTTACTAATAGGAAGTCTGGGAACACAGTGATTTGAAATCTCTGCAGGCAGATTTTCAAATAGTTTTCAAATAGTTTTGTAAATATATGGAAAGCCCTATTTTTTATCTGCGTTTGTTATATCATTCAGTGGTCCACAAATATTATTTCTATTTACTAGTGAAGACATTATTTCTGGGGAGCTCCAGCTTATCAAAATCATTTACTAGTCAAGTATTTTTAGAGTGTTTAGGGGAGAGTCAGTGACTTCTGTATATGACAAGTAATTTAGAAGATATGAAAAGCAATAGATTGCAAACTGCAAGACTGGAATCTTGCTCTAAACGCCTGTGGTCCATGCAGAAGTCATATTTTATCTGATTGGCACAGATACAAGAATTAGCAGTGATCTCTTCCCAAAGTGAAAAATCCCCACTCTCTCTTATGTCTTCTCTCAGTCTTCTCTCTTCTTATCTATACTGCCTAACTGGATTTCACGCAAACTTACATATGTACATTGTTTTAAGCTGTCTTAACTTTTAAACTAGTTTTGAACTGTCTTGATGAGTAACTATCACTATCACTTAGGTAAGCATGCTTGAGTCATGATATGTTATAAAGAGGATCCTGGAATGGAGTAAGTCAGACATACAAGAATTATATGCTATGTATTACAAAATGTGACTTTAAAAAACCTTTCCAATTTCAACTGAAATACAATTAGCAAGAAAGAAACAGATAGACACTGATGCTTTTTCTTGAAAAAAATTCTTTCTCTGAACATGGTATTTTGTATCCTGGTCTAAAACCTGTTCTACCATCTGCTTGTAATGTTTTAAGATATTGGTGAAATGATCATACAAAGGCACGTTTTTTTAGGCTCTGACTACATGACAGATCCCTCACCGTCTTAGTTGATAAAGTGCTGGTAATGTAACAATTGATGGCAGGCCAAATTCAAGACTCTACATTCTCCATTAGAGGATATGAACAGATCAAATTAACACACATAAAGCACAAAACGCAAGTACTTACATGGGTGTACTTTCTTCTGCATGGTGGCCAGGAGGTCGAACCACAGCAAACCCATTCTACCAAAAGGAAACAAAAACAGTGTGGAAAAATGGATGCAATAGGTAATAAACTTACTTATTTATTATCTAAAAAGAAGGGCACCCCAAGGGAAGAAACAGATTGGAAACAAGTAACAGCATACTTAATAAAAGAAAAAAAATGAAAATATGTATTTAGACAAGAGAAAGAAACAGGAAAAATGAAGGGAGGGAGAAAGAGGGGAAAAAAGAAAGGAAAAAAAAGGAAAAGGAGAGAACCTCAGAAAAGATGCTGGGAAGCAAAGACACCTACATTCTTATCTGGTTTTTTTTAATGCTATCTTTCTATATATCTTCCTACTTTCTACTTTCAGCCAACCTTTAGATCTTTTCTCACTGCCCTGCCCCCTATCATGTCATATCTTTTTAATTTTAATTACATTAGGCCTACCCATCGTTTTTAAAGTGTGTTGTCCTATTGATATTGCATGTGTTATTGGTTTATTATTTTGTTCTTTTAAATTGCTTGTATTGTTATTATTATTGCTTGTATTGTTGTATTTTGGGCTCGGCCTCATGTAAGCCGCACCGAGTCCCTTGGGGAGATGGTAGCGGGGTATAAATAAAGTGTTATTATTATTATTATTATTATTATTATTATTATTATTATTATTACCTCCCCCCCACCCTCCAATTACCTTTTACTATATCCCACACTAATCTAAATCTGTATCTATATCTTTATATATCTTTCTTTATCTAAAGACCATCGTATTTTTATGCTATACTACTATTTTTAATCTACTCTTTTAAAAATTAAATAAAGATTATTCTCAAAAAAGAAAAAGAAAAATGGATGCAAAGGTCCGTCTGTTTTCTCAATAATGTTATGTAGTAGAGTTGTTAAAGAGTTTCAGAAATATTCTGACTATTTTTGTTAATGAATATTCACTTGGCAGACAATGAGGTGAAGAGGACACAAATAAAACTCTTGGAGCTTTCAAAATGTATGCAAAATTACATCCAGATATCTATAGACGGATTACAAGCATTTCAGCCAGCATTCTTGTAAAAAGAAACACTTTTTGGGATGCTACTGAAATCTGGCATTCCAGTCAAAAATGCTTGTTTATACTAAACTAGCTGTACCCTGACCATGTGTTGCTGTGGCCTCAGACAACAGGAATCGCGGACATGAAACAATCTGAGCTAGGGAACACCTCCCCACAAAGATTTCCTGTAGGAAGGAAGAAGGCAGGGTTTTAAACTGCAAGGGTTTTCAAAGGTTATGAAGGTAGGCAATGTATGTGTATATGTAAATGTGTATATATGTGTGCATGTGTATATATGTGTATATTTGTGTGTGGTTGTGTATATGTATATATGTGTGGTTTGCATGTGTATATATATGTGTGTGTATATGCTTATGTATGTGCATATGTGTATGTTCATGCATGTGTGTGTATGTGTATGTATAACACATATATACACATGCACGAACATACGCATATGCACATACATAAACATATACACACACACACATATATACACATGCAAACCACACATTTATACATATACACAACCACACACAAATATACACATGCACACATATATACACATTTACATATATATATATGTGTGTATTTATGTGTTTATGTATAAGTGCATATGTGTTTGTGTAGATATGTGCATGTGTGTGTTGTTTGTATATGTGTGTAGGCCTGGGCTTACTTGGGCCCTCCAGACATTTTGGACTTCAGTTCCCACAATTCCTAACAGCATGGCTGTTAGGAATTGTGGGAGTTGAAGTCCAAAATGCCTGGAGGGCCCAAGTAGGCCCAGGCCTGGAGTATGAGATTTGTTACTGAACCCTGTGTCTCTTTGGAGGCCTGTGCAGCCTCCTCCTGGCATGGCTCCTCCTCCCTCCCTCACTCCCTGCCCTTTCCCTCTCGCCTTCCTTGCCTGAAAAGGCTTGCTTGCTTCTTGGCTTCTTTTGTCCCTCTGTCTGTCCTTCTCCCTCCCTCCCTCCCTCCCTCTCCCTCTCTCTCTGAGAAGGCTCTAAAGGCTGCTTTTCAGAGCAGCTTTGCTGGGCTGTTCTGGCTTCTCGGCTCGGCTCCCGAAGCAGCTGTTTGGCTACGGATGGTTGTTTGTTTCCCCCTCTCGCACAAGAGGGGGCGGGGCTCGGTTTTTCACATGTGTGGTAAGGTATTTTTATTTTTTAAGAATTGTAAAGCTGTTTTCACAGTTTTGGGGGTTTTTTTAATTATTGGTCATACCTTGCGGTATGAGAAGTTTGGAGGCCAAATTTGATGTCAGTTGGCCCCATAGTTTGTTTGTTTTTAGGGTACTAACGACGACCATTAGCTTTTTATATATTAAGATTTAAGCTTGAGAAGTGAGTATATGTTCAGATGTAATTGGGTATTCATAGTTTGGGCTAGGAGAATAAATTCTATATACAAACACACACACATATGAATATACAAAGTACAGTACAATAATTTGACATGATAAATAAAAAAGTACAATAACCAAACTGTGAGGTTAATACAAGTGTGAACCAAGATTGTGACATACTGGCTACAAAGACTGAAGTGTAATAAATTGTACTGATGCAAATCAAACAAACTTCCAGTAGAACTAAATACAATTGTTTTCAGTTTGATGGATCAATTGTATTGTACACTGTCATGAAATCCTATGACACATCATATAAACATTTTAATGAATTATTAAATAATTTCTGGATTACCAAGCACATTAAAAATAAAATCCTTACTACGATGTCTGAATGGATTCAATTTGTCTGCAATGAAACGTGAAATAGTATTCCTGCTCCTACTGCATTTCTGTCAATTTTAAAAATTAAAAAGACTGTCTCAGTCTTCCTGCGTGGTGTTCTGCATGACAGACCCCAAAGGCTGACTTGGGCATTCTCATATTTACCAAACCCATAAACAAATTGCTATTAACAGCACACTAACCTTCAGTTCTCCTGTAGCAACTTTAAAAACAAGCTCTATGACACAACCAACAGCAAGGCGAGCTGCGCTGAATGAGTGGACTTCATTCCAAATTGTGTCACTGTCAACCTACATAAAGCAAAGTCATAAATACATTATAAGCATAGTTATAACAATATCTGAAACAATATCAATTCCGAATGCACTGCATTTTGAAACAAGTCTCAAAGAGCCTCCAATGGGCCAACTCTTAAGATTTTTTTTCCAAATTAATAACAAGATATGGATTACATTCAACTAGAGATGGGACGGCCTGGGAAAAAATGGGAAAAATTGGTAAAAAACCAAACAAAATATTTTCCCATTTTTTTCCCAATGCCAATTTTCTGGGATTTTTTTAATGTGTAGAAGCAAATAGTCTCAGAAATCGTTCATTAAAATCTTCATGTTATATAGCTTTATATATTGGAAAGGAACATATTCTACACACTCTAATTTTTTTTTTTTAAAAAAAAGGCTTTGTAAAGAAAAGGAAAAAAAATGTTTTCCCCCAATTTTGCCAGTTTTTTTTTCTAGGCCTTCCCATCTCTACATTCAACCCAAGTACTGGTATTATCACTGTATTTCCTGTCTGCTTTGTTTTAGTTATGTCCTTCATTGGATGTGATCTTCTTTCAAGCTGAAGATCACATCCTTGCATAAGGCAACATCTCTTGGGCCACTATCATCCTAAAAAAAGAGATTAGAATCATAGAATCATAGAGTTGGAAGACACCTCATGGGCCATCCAGTCCAACCCCCTGCCAAGAAGCAGGAATATTGCATTTGAAGCACCCCTGACAGATGGCCATCCAAAGCCTCCAAAGAAGGAGCCTCCACCACAGATTGAGGTCAACAGGCTCGCTGTTCTTTGGAAAAGAAATTTCTTTTGAAAAGAAGTTCTGTTCAGTGTCCATCAAACATCTGTGCCACTATGTACAAAATTGGAAACAACTGCAAACCTTTCTGTATATAGTTTTCTTTCACTCTGATTCATTAGTTCTAAAACACTTTTTATGAGTGGTCACGACAAAGCAGGGTGGGTTTTTTATCCAGTTTTTTCTTTAAAAATTCTCATTAACCAAACTCCTACCCTATGTGATTCATTCATTTTACCAAATGAAATACAAATGGACTATATTCAGTTGTGAAATATTGGTATGAGGTTGCTTTCTCTCCCTCAAAGTGATTATTTCTATTTTCTTTTAATGTGGTGTACTAAGAGCCTTATAGAGAAGTATTGCATGTAATGGAAAAATGAATCCTAGTTTTTCAGTCTCTAAAAATGTCATTTAATTTTCAATGCTTATGTTTATAATAATCTTAAATCGATAAGACCTTAACAATATTGCAGAGCAGAATGTTGCTGTCAAGTGATGTCCATAAACAATAGGGGCTTTTTTTTTTTTTGGTCATGTCAGGAGTGACCTGAGAAACTGCAAGTCGCTTCTGGTGTGAGAGAATTGACCGTCTGCAAGGACGTTGCTCAGGGGACGCTTGGATGATTTGATGTTTTATCATCCTTGTGGGAGGCTTCTCTCATGTCCCCGCATGAGGAGTTGGAGTTGATAGAGGGAGCTCATCCACCTCTCCCCGGATTCGAACCTGGGGGTTTAACCCACTGTGCCACCGGGGGCTCCCAACAATAGGGGGTGATCATACAGAATCATGGCTCAAGTATAAAACATCACTTTGTATGAAAGAAGTTCTCGTGAAATTGAGAACCCCGAGTAGAAAAACAAAGATTCCAAACCTGTGCAATCTCACAATTTAAAATACTATTAGAATCAATATTATTTGTTTGTGGAAAACATGCTCAGTTATTGCACACAGGAACTTTCCCAGTGTTTATATCTCACTGATCCAGCAGCTCTCCACTACAAAGGTGTTTTTTTTAAATACAAAACAAAAACAAAACCTTATTCTACTCCATTTAACCAACCATATAAACCCCCTTGTTAAATTACCTAATTATAAATAGACATTAGATGATACACAAGGGAAGGGGGAACTTACTCCAACACCACCACAAGGGAGCCTGACGAATACTGACGTCAAAGAACCTAAGGGAGTTAAGAGAGAAAAGAACATTGTTCAAATTACACAATCCATGACTACGGGACAAAATTTATAGTACTTTAAAATTCTGCAATAAAAGATGGTAAATGAGCACATCGTGAGCTCCAATTCCAAATGAGCAGAGCACAAACCTAGCTTTTCACAGAATTATAATAAGTGTTAAATTATTTGTTAATTGCTAAATTCATTATTCTGTTCCTCTTTGCCTCTCACTCAACTGTGTCCTTTGTCTTCTTATTACCATCATGCTTGATTTTCCCACAATGCCAAAACCATCATGACTAATGAAATCATCCCAGTGACTTGGACTGTGTGAACAACCCTCATTTAAGAAATCCTCCAACAGTAAACCTCCATTTTATAAAAAGCTTTTTAATAAACAGTTCGAATCTGTCTATTTGAAAGGTTTCTAGCAGGATTGGCACCGATGGGATGGCAAAGGAGTTCTACGGGAATATAGGATTTCAGCATTACAGCAAGTAGTGAAGCAAACCCTGACTTGAGAAAGTGTAGAATTTTATTCTAACCTCTTCCACTGTAGCCATGAAACAGGCAAAGTAAAAAGCACCTGCTTCCAGAAACCCTGAGTGAGAACTCCAAAACAAAGAGCTAAGAGACAAGCATGCCGCATGAGATATCCTAAGCATTAAAAACAAAAACCCAGAGCATAGATGTGTAAGTTCAGAGACCAAATCTTAAATCTTAGCCAAAGTGGAGAATGGTGAAAGCAAAAGGCATCTCTGGATGCACTTTGCAAGAAACCTTCAAGTGGTCTCTAGAAAGTTCAAAATGTTTTTGTTCACTTATGCAGGGCTCACCTGACCTGGTTCTTCTATTTCACATGTTTATATTGCTAGTTTTGAATCAAGATTTTGCTGGAATGTGTTCAACAGTGAGGGTTTTTCGATGGTGTAGATATAACATGGTTCTTTCCATGTTATATCTGAATCTGGCACCAAATTTTCTGTTGAAGAAAAAATGCCCAGGAACACAGCGGCTTCTTTTACTTAAGACAATTCCAAGGCACAGGGTCTTGTGTTTATTCTTTCACTACTGGATTAGCTGTTCTGGAACAGTTATAAAAATATTTATTGATAGATAAATAGATATATTATGGTGTTGTAATGCAGTGCTATTGCTTAAAACAGACCTACCAAACCCCCTGTTGTTTTGGAGCACAACTCCCATCAGTCTCAGCCAACAAGACTAATGGTTCAGGAAGATAAAGCAACGGATGCCTGTATGGTACCAGATTGGGGAAGGTTCAATTAATACCACCCTGTAACACAATTTTTGTTCCTGGGTTATAAATGTCATTTCCTAATTGGTTCTATCATAAAAACATCTGAATCATCAGAACTAAAAACTACACAGTGTGTCCCTATACATGTTTTACTTAGAAGTAAATTCCACTTAATTTTGTGGGATGTATTCTGAAGTAAATACTGTATGTTTAAAGCTGAAGAGCATTGGGCTTACAGGAACAAAATTAGGCAAGGTCTGAATTCTTCCATTGTATAACAGGCAGGAATCACCCGATACTACCATGTAACATGATTTTTGTTCCTCAGTTATAAATGTAATTTCCCAATTGGTTTGATGAGAAAAACATGGGAAAAGTTTATTAAACTGTCGAAACTTTGTTTTTGCAGGACATCCTGCAGCACATTTTGCTATAGTTTTTCAATGAATACTCATTGAGTCTCAAATCAATTCAAAATACTTTGTGGAAGCCACAAAAAATGAAATTTATTCACTTCCAACTCGTTGTGACCTCATGGAGCCCACACCAGAGTTCCCTGTCATCTGTCGCCACCCCCAGTTCCTTCAAGGTCAAGCCAGTCACTTGAAGGATTTTTGCTGTAATTTGTATGAACTGTATGAAGTGTATTTTAATGTATTTTATATTGATGACCTATAATGTTTTTCTTATTGTATTGAATTTTATGTTGTTAGCCGGCCTGAGTCCCTCCCCGGAGGTGAGAAGTATAAAAACTCTAAATAAATAAATAAATAAATAAATAAATAAATAAGGATACCATCCATCCATCTTTCAATTGGTTGGCTCCTCTTCCCTTTCCTTCCATTTTCCCAAGCATCATTGTCTTCTTTAAGCTTTCCTGTCTTCTCATAATGTGGCCAAAGTACTTCATCTTTGTCTCTAATATCCTTCCCTCCAATGAGCAGGCATTATTTCCTGGAGTATGGACTGGTTTTATCTTCTTGGGGTCCAAGGCACTCTCAAAATTTGCCTCCAACACCACAGTTCAAAATGTCTATCTTCCTTCACTTAACCTACCTCATGGTCCAGCTCTCACATCCATAGGTTACTATGGAGAATACATTGTTTTAACTATGTGGATTAAAGAAGAATTCAAACAAATAACCAACTCCCGTAGGGAAAAGGTTCGCACAGCTAAAGCGCGAAACAAGCTCAAGATTGCCAGGGACATTAAAAACAATAAAGGGGGCTTCTTTGCTTACATCAGTAGAAAAAGGAAGAAGAAGGAGGCGATAGGGCCTTTGTCTGGTATTTGGTTTCCTTGGGAACATCTAGACTACATTTCATCTGTTCCTATTTTCAGGCAGAGATATAAGTAGCCAGGAAGGTGCTATCATGTCAGTTGGGAAATCAAGAGCTGGATCTCCCATACTGCAGATGAAGGATTTTTGGGAAGAAACCAACTGTGATAGCTGTTGGCTTCCATGTCATCGGGGCAGTAAATCTACACCAACATTTAGACCTGTTGCAAAATTCAGACTGAAATTCAAAGTGGTCATCTCCCTACAGCCGTGGATGTCACTAGATGTTACCAGCAACCCCAATTCTATCTCCCTTGGAACAATATACAGGGTGTTTCAAAAAGATGGACTCAATTTGAAATTGCTATATCTCTGCAACCACAAACTGCCCATGAATGAAACGCTTACCCATTGAAAGAGTGGGGACATAGTTTCAAAGGATTCCTGCTAGATGCCTCTCTGGGTGCACGATCAGCCCACTTGGCCTCAGTTATGTACAGGATGGTGACCTTGCAGCACAAAGCCTAATGAGATATCCTCCATTTAAAGTATTTTTTTTAGATTTGCTTCTTGCTCAAAATGGTTTGTAAAACTTTGTAACTCATTAAACCATTCGCAATTTTGCGTGCTATTGTAACATGCTGCCATTGCGAAATATACTGCTTTGAAATTGGGTTCATCATTTTGAAACACCCTGTATAGCTAACCAATTCATTTTCACAAATACGTGCAGAAAAAAATTAGGAGTACTTACATAGTAAAAAAGCTATTTTCCTCTAATGGGAAAAATAATGCAGAGGTTTCCAAGAAAATAATACCCATTAAGATATTACTTACTCGCTTTGTTCTTTGACTGTGACTAGGCATGATGGCATTTAAAGGAGAACAGCTCAACTTGTAAGTGGCCAATTACACCATTATTAGTTGACATTGTACTAATCTTTGTAACTTTATTCAGCTCTAACAGCAATTTTACACTTGCTAGAGCATTCAGGAAAACATTTTAACCTTTTCACAACTCTGATCCAATAATAGTTATACAAGAAGAAAAAAGACACCTCCTATTACCAACAAGTTGTGCAATGCCAGCCTACTGTTACCAAATGCAATGCATCCGTTATTAATATAAGAGTAATTTTGGCACAGCATAAAAAGGCTACCAGGCAAATATATTACTGCATTAAGAAAGGAATGAGGTCAGACAATAAAACCAAATGTTCCCCAAAACAAGACTCTCAGATATTAACTATATTTGATTACTGTAAGAAAAAAAATGATAAATTCATCAATCCTATGCAGTGGGGCTTACTTCAACTATACCCATGATGGCGAACCTATGACACGTGTGTCAGCACTGACACGCGTAGCCATTTTCGATGACACACAGCCGCATGCGGCCGCATACAGAGAAGATGGGGCCACATCCCAAGAAGGACATTTCATCCTTGGCTCCTACACCAACATTTTTCTATAATGCTGAGATATATGGCATTATAGAAAAAGCAGGTAACTTAAATAATTAGTTTTTGGTTTATTAAATACAGTTATATATTACAATAATATATTTTTGTTATTAAACTATAAATATCATGAAATTATGGGTTTTTCTCAAAGTGACACCCCACTCGAGTTATGCTCGGTTTTTTGGCGAGTATTCACACACCAAACTCAAAAGGTTGCCCATCATTGAACTATACAGACCGTAGTACTAACTGATTACAAAAAATGAATTGCTTTCCATTATTTCCCACCAATTACAAAGGTTATGTGCTCCATGATGGTGCATCATACTCTGTTGTGCAAGATAAGAGAGGAGAAGGAGGACAATATGTTTAGTGCGCACTCTGTTTGTAACATTCAGATTTTGTAAAAGTAAAAAAAAAAACACCTTTGTTATGTTAGGAAATGGGAGAATATAGTAACTTTTAAAAATGGTAATTGCAGCAGTACCTGGTTACTTTCAAGCTGTGTTTTAACAAATCAGTTTTAAAAAATAATTTCACAGGCTCTGTGCTTACATAGAATTAGGTTTTGTAAGCTTTTTCGATACCAGATTCAAGGACTTGTAAGGTTTGAAGCTTGAAATTAAAAATATTAATAAAAATCAAATGTACAGTGCAATAGAAGGTCTCTTTGTATAAATATGTCTACCTTTCAGATTTTCTGAGGCTATAAAAATTATGGGAATTTTCCTATGGCTCCTTGTGAGAAGTGGCATATTCCAACAGAATACTGAGAGAGAATAGGGTCATCCTCAATGCAGCTCCAGTTGCGCCAAAGCATTGGGAAACCTTTTGCAGCTTGTTTTCAGTAATGCACCATATAACAGGGGATAGGAAAAAATAACATTTCATGGCAACTGCCAGTGGAATATTTTATTTATCCCTAATTGCATGCCTAGTACTTAAAAGGTTTTATCTGAACTGCAAATCGAGGAAGCTGTCTTATACATAGGCAGACCAGTATTGTTGGCACTGACTGGCAGATTCTTTGCAGGTTTTCAGGCAGGATTTTCTCCAGTCCTCCCTGAAGATGATAGGGACAGAACATGCGTTCATGAAAAACTTGTGATCTACCATGACTATATCCTGTCTGCAATGGTTAGGGATTTATTAATCCATGCTAAGAATAAGTTGCCTCATTACTCGTATTTAATATGGTTTTTAAATGTTCCAAACACGCATACTTTGCACATTAAGAAACCTCAACATCATATTGCCTGCCTGCTTTGTTCTTAAACTACTACTGTAGATCCAATATTTAATTAAAATATTCAGCACAATTTAAAATCTGGTTGTCATTTCCAGACACGTCATTTCCCAGCTCTTCAACTGAATGCTATTTATCTGCATACAAAGAGATCCCGAGGTGCCTCAGAAATGAAGGATGCCTAAAATACACAAAGATCTCACACACATAGAAGGGTTTTTCAAAATAAGAGCATTGTATATTTATGCTGTATATGCAAAACTTCTCCTGAAAAAAAAAAAGAAGCATGCTGCTTCAGTAGCTTGTATGGACTGAATTATACATGCAGCTTACATAATGTTGGATTTGAACCCCAATCAAACGGTATAGTTCATTATCTGCATATTGCTTAAAGTTTAATATAGCACATTGCTTACATAGGACTGTAAAAGACCCCTAATATGAGCTTGTGCAGATTGATGATCAGAAATGCAGAACATATTACATCCCCTGCCATACCTAAGAGTTTCTTGCTGTCCAATTTCTGTCTGTTCAGGGGGTTGGTACCATAAAGTAGTGTGTGGGCTTCTGAATGAACAGTCTGTAGCTCTTCTAGAGTTGCTTTTCTTCCACGAATACACTACCAGAGAAAGGAAAACAATGGAACTACATTTATTTTCATTAAAATAAATCAATACCAATGTGGGTGGACTGAGGTTTTACACCGTTTCCCCTTCCAATTAATTGACCATTTAATACGATAAGCATCCATGTTTTTAAACAGTTTTGATATTTCCCCCTTCTCAAATAAGACAACTGTGGAACCATATGTAAGAATTCTTCTACTTTGGATACAAAATGTAATGGGGATAATACAAGGTGAGGGATAAAGATCTCCCACATTTTGAAGGGGGGTGACTTATCTGGTTGAAGTAGTCTGCAGTGCCTTTCATGTTCCTTGATTTATGTTTGAATTCTCTGGTAGACTTCTCTGGTTGAGTAGTCTGCAATGCCTTTCATGTTCCTTGATTCGTGTTTGGGCACTGCGTTTGGTGGTCCCTATGTAGACTTGTCCACAACTGCATGGTATATGGTAGACTCCTGCAGAAGTGAGAGGATCCCTTCTTGTCCTTTGCTGAATGTAGCATTTGTTGGATTTTCTTAGTGGGTCAGTAGATAGTTTGTAGGTTGTGTTTCCTTATTAGCTTCCCTATGTGGTCAGTTTTCCATGTTGACCGAGAGCAAAGTGTGGATGGAATGCTCTCTGTGTTGTTATGACGGAATGGTTGTACTCATAAAAGCTGATCAACAAATCCCTGGTGTTCACTGGTCCAACACACGATGGGTACTAAAAATGGCAGAGCCTAACCTATCAAATTAGGCCTACCCCAGCTCTCTAACCACACTATAGCCCACACAGTACCCCTTCGATATATGGGAGATCTCTTAGCTCCACTCTTTGTGTTTAAAACAGTTCTCAATTGCTCCAAATATGAAGTCTTTTTTATTTCCCTCCACTCAACGCCCATTACCTCACACTTGCTACGAAGGCCTGTCTCCTGAAGCCGTGACCAAATGCTCTGGATTCTTCCTGCATGTTCTGGATGGCTGTTTGTGTTTCCACAGGTACACTGGTGTTTCAGCATCAAGGTGTCATATACAAGGCCTGTATCAACAGATATAAAACAACACAGGTTCCAATCCTACACTTATGTGGACGTAAGCTTCACCAAAAATGGTACAGAAATGTACAAGAATATATTTGCACAATTATACCTGTGAGATAAATGATGCTTTGGTGTTAATTCTAAACATTATGTCTGAGTAAAGCATGCACGATAAAAGTGTATCTCAAACAAAACAAAATCAAAACAGCCCAGGGGAAAAGGGGATGAGTAAGTTCTAAAATTTTACAATCAATTAAAAATTTTCCTCAATATCATAATGATCTCAGATATTTACATAAGAAAAGAACACCCTTTGCCAGGAGCAGCAATGGCATTTTCAAGGTAAAAGTAAAAGAGAGAAAATGAAAGAAATGCTGTCCTTTTTGTCCTGGGATGAACTACTCTACTTAAAGAGAGGAATAATTTTTTAATCAGGGTTCAGGTATAATATTTACACTGACTCATTGATAAGTCAACCCAGTTTTTTTGGGTTGGTTCTGTGACTAAAATTTCTACACTTATCTATATACGGAAATATACAGCATTATTACACTACCACTGGGCCCTTTGATGGGGCAGTGGGTTAAACCGCTGAGCTGCTGAACTTGCTGACCAAAAGGTTAGTGGTTCGAATCCTGGGAATGGGGTGAGTTCCCACAATTAGGCCCAGCTTCTGTCAACCTAGCAGTTCGATAACATGCAAATGTGAGTAGATCTATAGGCACCGCTTCTGTGGGAAAGTAACGACACTCCATGCGGTCATGCTGACCACATAACCTTGGAGGCATCTATGAACAACGCTGGCTCTTTGGCTTAGAAATGGAGATGTGCACCACCCTCCAGAGTAGACATGACTAGACTTCACCTTTACCTCACACTACCATTATTACATTTGCAAAGTGTAAGTCTGTGGCGGTTTTTCTAGTCATGAAAAGGATTTTCACTGTCGTCTCAGGAGAAAGAACAACAACTACTCACCACAATCAATCTGTATTTCATGTTTCAGACTAAACTGTTCACATTCATTCTAAGCTAGATGTCATTATTGTAACAGAGCCAGGAATTATTCTAATCAGAATTGGAAATCATTGCATTACGCAGAGATCAGGGACATACATTTTTGCTTATTCTGTTCTTACAAATGAAAATATTACAAAATATTTAGAAATTCTGAAAAAAGTTTAAAAGATTTTTCATTTTCAGGATGTTTTTTGAATTTTTGAATGTGTTTTCAGTCACAATACTACAGCATCAATTTATTTTTAAAAACAGTGTGACTTTATGATTTTACACTCACTCTTAAGTACCAAGTGCATAGAGGATTCAATCCAGCTACAATCCGATACTATACCGACAGAACTTGATCATTTCCCTAACAATACAAGGAGCCCTCAAACTCCTTTTCTGCCTATGCATTCTTCGTCACTCCTTCCCTCTCACTTTTAAAATATCTGGTCAGTGAGACCTACAAACCCTGACGTAAATCATGCTCCTAAGCATGCTCTAATGTGCCACTTCAAGCTGTGAGGTCAGACCAACCTGCTTCTGTAATGCATGAACAAGGAAGACTTCCCATCACTGTTCACCTCCTCCCCTTTTATAACACAAAGGTAATGGGATTTTTAAAAATTATAATTGCTTTTGAAGCAGAGGAACTTGTAACCCGTTTGTAAGTCTATGTAAACTGGCAAGGAAGGCTACATAAACCCTCTGGGTTTTGCAAGTCTTCCAAGTAAATACACTAATAGTTTAAAAAACCTCTCAAGGACTGTTTGTGTGCCAACAATACTTTCAAAGTCTAAATGGTTTTCAAGACAGAGGAGTGGAGCCTGCATGTTTCTTAACACGACTGCAAGAGGGACAAGGCTTAATTGGATGCTAAAGTTTCCTTTAACTTAACAGAAATCATTCTTTTGAACACAGATTTAAAAGAACTGATCTTATTTTTATGTTTTACACTAGGATGATTTTACATTTTAAGAAGCATTATAATTTTCCTAAAAGCCTCGGAGTCTGCAAAAATGAGGACTGGAGTGTTTCTTGCTGTTTCTCCTCCTTCTCCTTCTCCTCATCATTATTAAATTTCGTTCTACCTTGCCTTTCTCCCTATGGGGACTCAAGGTGGTTTACAATAACATTGCACACACTCCAATAAATTTTAAAACATGGCAAATACAAACATTAAAACAATTTAAATACAATTACAAAATTTTGCCATGAATACAAGTTAAAATACAATAAGGATGCAATAGAAATATTCGTACAATTAACATTATGTTTAAAACTAATGATCCCCCCCAGAATCTCACCCACAACCATCCTTCCTCCCCCAAATGTATATTGGAAGAGCTATGTCTTCACCTGCCTGCAATAGGAAAGTAAGGAAGGGGCCATCTCTCTAGGTCTCTCTAGGGAGGGGGCTCCAGAGCAACCACCAAAAAGCCCTCTCCCGTGTTCCCACCAAACACACTTGAGTGGGTGGTGGGACAGAGAGAAAGTCCTCCCCAGAGGATCGTAGGTATCTTACAGGCTCATAGAGAGAGATAAGGTCCTTCAAAAAATGTGGACCCTGGCCAACCACTCCAGATTGTGATTATGCTATCTTTCGTTTACAGATATGGAAGGGCATGGCAACTCTGGGCACAAGAATGCAAATCCTGTCCACTACAGGACATGTCCAATACATTTGGAAAAATTAAAAATGCAACAAAGGGTTACTGTCAAATACATTACCTGTTGTGAATTGTGGCTTGCAGGGTGGCTCCTGTACAGAAATGGGGAAATTGGCAGAGGCAGGGGATGACTGGGCTCGAGAAAGAGGCCGATGTCCGCCAAAAGACACTGGGATACCAGCAGCCTCCATGGATGCCTGGTAATTCCTCAACTGGTGAATGCGCTGCTGCTCCAGCAAAAGGGCTTGCTGTTGGGGAGGATGGATTGTGTGCTCAATGTCAAAAATGTATAAATGAATTTCCTAACTTCCCTCGTAACAAAGAAAATTGTCTCCTGAACATAAATTAAAATGCACTAGTTAAGCAATATTTTCAATGTTTATAAAATGTTATTTCAATACTCCAAAATAAGTCATATATCCACTTTAAATGTTTCCTAACAAGAGAGCTTTTAAATGGTAGTTTAAATTAATTCCACATCATCAGCTTTCAATTGAAGGTTCTAAATGTTTACCTTCCATCTGAAAAATTTCAATGACTTCATGCACTTGAAAATCACAAGTTGGTGATTAAAATGGCGTTTCGTCAGTAACATTGTGAGAGAGTAGTGAATGTCCTTTGTGAAGTTTCTACACAAAGCAGTTAGTACAGTGGAACCTCGATTTATGAGTATCCCAACTTATGTGCAATTCGAGATATGAGCTCTCATCAGATTTTTTGTTCCACTTGTGAGTGGCAATCCAAGTTATGAGCCAAAGGAATAGGCTTCGCACCTTGTGCCCCACTGCAATTGAAGGACAAGACTCTTTCATGAGAGGTAGCACTAGTGCAAGAGGTAGAGCTAGTGCAAGACCACCCACTATCTTATCCTGCTTGCAGAACACAGACCCTCCTCCTTCTGCCTTGGCCAGGTGCACAGCTCACCCCGGGCCCACTTGCAAGACACGGCACCTCCTCCTCCTTCGGCTGCATGCGGGGTTAGCTCCGGGCCCAACACTGGGCCTACTAGTGAACTTCCTTTAGTGGGGCGGCAGATGGAGAAGAGCCACCTCAAGCCCCGTGAGGCCTCATCGTTCACTATGAGCCACTGGGAGGCCTCCAGATCAGCCTGCAATAGGTACCAGCTGAGGCGACTAAAGCTGATTTAATTCTTTCTGTGGCTGAGCTCTGGAACGGATTGATAGCATTTCAATGATTTGACATTTTAAGAGTTTGGTGACAGAACGAATTAAATTAATAAGTAAAGCTATTGCTGTGTTTTAATTAACATCTTCAAAATATTTGTATCCATGGGGGTTCAATTCTGATACCCACTGCGAGTATGAAAAGGTATGACCACGTCGCATATCATTAACCAGCAAGGACAAGAATGCACACACTTGTTGATGCTCACACAGCTGACATTTACAAATAGAAGGCAGAAAGATATACAGTTGCTTGTAATTGCAGATCCAGATTTTGCATTGTTCTTAACAGTGAAAATATAGGCAGTCTTTGAGTTACAAGCATGCAACTTACAAACAACTCTGAGGAAACCTGCCATTAGGAAGGGAAATCAATTCCTGGAAGAGTTGCCATAGGAAAAGGCTTCCTCGCCAATCCTTGCTTCCACAACAAGCCACATTTTTCAAAATTACAAGGACAGAAAGTAAAGTGAACTCTTCTGAACAGGCTCATAGACAGCAAAACAAACACCACATGAGTGTTTAACCCTTCCCTATGCTATCCAAAAGTTTTTTTAAAATAGCTGGTGTTACACTTCAAAAATGTATCTCTTCCGACTTACATTTAAATTCAAGTTAAGAACAAACCTACAAAACATATCTTGTTTGTAACTGTAGATTTTTCCAGAAGAAACTTTATTCAGATGGTGGATGAAATCCAGAATTCACACTAGAAATGCATGCAATACAGGACTTCCAAATTTCAAATAAAATATTAAATTACTCATATACTAATCTAAAATCGATGTGCCACAATGAGGGTGTGCTGATGTGTGAGCAAACCAAAGGAAGCCAAGCACACAATGTGTGCCCTTACCTTCCTTCAAAAATACTACACTAAAATTTTGAAATGTTACAGCAGGGGTATGCTGCTTTTTCATATTCTGTCTCTGTGAACACAGAGCAACAAACATAGAAGCCTTCAGAAAAATGTCCACTGACTAAATAAAGGTGTGTGTCCTACTTTACCTGTCTGAAGAGCAACTCCTGCTCAGCTTGCCTTTGTCCTGGCTCTAGTTCTGGCTGCAACTCTCCATCTTCATCACTCTCCACAGGCTCCTGCTTCACTTGGACCATACTGGTCAGCCCTTGAATGTCCTTTTGGTTTGATATTCGGTCAATATATGAGTCTTCTAAAAATGCTTGGTGTTCTCGTAATTCTTCTTCAGTCTCTTCAGGATGGCTTTCATGCTGACGGGAAGACTCATTTGGTTTTGGTATCATCTGTAAAACATTGTGCCAATTTTACTGCTAGAAGTGAGAATTCTCAACAAAGTTGATCAGCATTCCACTTGCAGTTTGGAAAAATTATAGAAAAAAATATTTTCTTACACAAAAAAGTACCATGTTAGGTTGCTCTTTTACAGATTTGTTCTGTTTACCCATCCATTTAAATATATCATAGAATCATAGAGTTGGAAGAGACCTCATGGGCCATCCAGTCCAACCCCCTGCCAAGAAGCAGGAATATTTGCATTCAAAGCACCCCCGACAGATGGCCATCCAGCCTCTGTTTAAAAGCTTCCAAAGAAGGAGCCTCCACCACACTCCGGGGCAGAGAGTTCCACTGCTGAATGACTCTCACAGTCAGGAAGTTCTTCCTCATGCTCAGATGGAATCTCCTTCTTTTTTGTAGTTTGAAGCCATTGTTCCTTGTCCTAATCTCCATGGAAGCAGTAAACAAGCTTGCTCCCTCCTCCCTGTGGCTTCCTCTCACATATGGCTATCATATCTCCTCTCATCCTTCTCTATCAGTGGCTACTCTGCAAAATGACAAACATACCGCAAGCTGTTCCTACCAATCAAACAAACTGTACCTTTTCAAGCATGCATAATGCTAGAGAAAGGAAAATGGATCAGAATGGAGAAGTTAAGAAGAGAATATTAACAAACTTCTAAACATGACCACCAATTTGCTGGAGTGCACATTATAAGTACTAGATAAGCATGACATACTAAATTTTCTTACGAGTTTAAAAAGTCTGTCAAGAAAAAAGTGGAGATAATTGAAACATGATTTTCTACAATGAGCCTACAATGTTAGTGAATATCTGTTTTAATGGGTTTTCTTAAGTCCAATACAACAGCATAATGCATAAGTCCAGCCTTGAGCATGCACCAGTCTTTAAAAATTTACACACAAGTCATAAAGATGTAAATGATGATTATTGGATTTCGTATAGCTGTAGCTCAACTGTGAAAAATGGTAACACAGGACACAACATAATTTAAGTGTATGAAAAAGAGACCTATCTCCCAGCTTTGTACTAACCTTCATACAGCGTGATACAGTTTTAATGAGAAATTTTAAACTTCCATTCTAAATCTAACTTTTGTTTTGTCTATTTTAATATGTATTTTATGGGAATATGTTTCAATGTGTGTATTCTACAGAGTGTTTTTAGGTGGTAATGTTTTTATTATGTGTTTTAGAAATGTTGCAACCTGCCTCGAGTTGTGAGGAGAGGCAGATAAGAAATAAAATAATTGTTGTTGTTGTTATTATTATTATTATTATTATTATTATTATTATTATTATTATTATTATTATTATGTTTCTGGATCAGGCAATGTGGACTACATTTCTCTTGATATAACCATTCATGACAGAAGGCTAGAGCCTGTAATCTCCACTAGCTTAAGCTATAAAAGGTTGTCCTACGTTCTAATTAACCTTCCCCTTTGGGTTTCCTCAAACTCTAAACCTTGTACTCATTAGAACAGAATAAACTAAATTTGTCATTGTACAATGAAATTAAATGCTTTTCCCAGCACACAGCACAAAACAATGCACCCATCCCTCCACTCCCACCACCACCGCACAACTCTCAATGCCACATCAGTGCGAAGCCATGGAGTTCAACATAGTTACAGCTGTACAATAAAAGCCGTCTAGCAGTCTGTCCTTGTCTTTGTCACCCTGTACCGTCTGCCAGACACAGGTTAACCAATTGCTCTCACACAGGAGCTGGACTGGTTTTTGCAATATTTCCAATACCATATGGAGTATCATAGTCCTAATTCTGATGACCTGAAATTGTACTGTGACGGAAATAAAGCAAAACATGAATCAGAAATTCCTTCCTTGCCACACTGCTGCAGGGAACATTCTTTGGATTTTGTATTTAAAGTACAATCAGTCCTCCACATTTGTGGCTTTGACTTTGAGGAATTTGATTCTTCCCTCCAGTGTAACTCTTATAATCATTTTCTGCTGGATGTTACCCACAGAGTCACATTCTAGGTCCTCCAGAGAGAACATCTCTATGGGACTCTCTGAGTCCTCCAGCTGAACTGGCCACAGAATCATGGAGGACCTAGAGATCATGGAGGACCTAGAAATAAAAAGGCACTATTATTATTATTATTATTATTATTATTATTATTATTACTAGTAGTAGTAGTAGTAGTAGTAGTAGTAATAGTGCCTTTTTATCTCTAGGTCCTCCATGATTCTAGTAGTAGTAGATCTCTCTCTCTAAAAACATTTTCACGATTTCCCCAAATTCACAGTGCTCGTAACCCAAACAAATGTGGAAAGCTGACTGTACTCAATTTGACAATCTTAGGATTTTAGAGATGCCTCCATCCCTTTGTCAAATGTTTTGGTTTTATACATTCTACACTAATTTCAATTTAATAGTCATGGGACTAGGACCTATATCCATATCAACTGTACACACCAATGGGAATATACTTATGCTGTTGTTCTACATGACAACATATGTCAGATTAGTCATTGAAGGATTTTATTATCACAAACGACTAAAATGTACTTAAGCTTGAACTTGATACAGTTCATCATCAACTAAAGTTGGGTGTTTAAGATACTAAAAATGTCTCTTTGGAAATGTTAAAACCACAGATACATTAGAGGATTTAAGCTTTAATAAACAATGTGTTGCAATCTTTAAATACTGCCCCAAATGCACTGCAACATATTTACTTTAAAAATACTTTATCATCTTTGGTTTCTAATCAACCTAATTTTATACTCTACTCCTCCAAGTGTGTTTGGAGAGCAGCAAGTGAAATCTCCAAGGAAATAATAGTTCTAAACTACATCAGTATGCTAGTCTGAATGAAATCCAGGTCTGGCACATGCATAGCAGTGGCATGTTTCCAGAAGTACAAAAATGACGTCAGTGGTTGTGTAATCATCTTGTCTTTGCTCTGTTTTATAAACAAAGTGCTGTTCCCCACCCCTCACTCAACTGTCTCTGAATTTATCACTGGGGAAAAATCCACATCAGCAGCCAAACTTTTAATGATACAACTTCTGGTGGCAGTGGTTGCTTTCATCAAAAAACTATGCAACCACCTTAAACTGAAATCACAGCACTCTGAAAGTCAAACGTGACTGCTGGATTTCTCTAACTGTGAGAAATCATGAACAGGATGATGAGTGAAGAACAGGAACTGCCACAACTTGACCAATTGAAATGCTCATAATTATGTCCCTTTATGCACGTTTGTCAAACTTAAGGCCTATAGACCAATTTGGCCTGACATGTCATTTTATGTAGCCCTCAAGATGCTGGACTACAACTCCGTTATTCCTCATCATTAGACATCATGACTAGAGATGATGGGAGTTGGTAGACAGTGACATTTGGAAGGCTGCCATTTGTTCTGTTTAGTCAGGAGAGAGGTTTGAATTGAGGTACAAGGCTATGATGTCTTTAAAATGCCCTGTAACCTTTCCTCAGCTCAGAGCTACAAGTGCTGTTGGGCTGCAACTCCCATTATCCCCAGTTTGCATGGCGGATAATCAAAGGAGTAGCCATTCAATAACATCTGGGGACTCAAGTTGGATAAAAACCAAAAAGCACTGACTACTATAGATTACTGCAACGCACTCTACGTGGGGTTGCCTTTGAAGAGTGTTCGGAAACTTCAATTAGTCCAGCGGGCGGCAGCCAGATTAATTACCGGAGCGTCATAGAGGGAACATACCACCCCTCTGTTATGTCAGCTCCACTGGCTGCCGATCCAATTCCGAGCACAATTCAAAGTGCTGGTTTTGACCTACAAAACCCTATACGGCTCCGGCCCAGCGTACCTGTCCTAACGCATCTCCTTCTACGTCCTGCCTCGGAGTTCAAGATCTTCTGGGGAGGCTCTGCTCTCGGCCCCACCTCTATCACAAGTGAGATTGGTGGGGATGAGGAGCAGGGCCTTCTCGGTGGTGGCCCTTTGCCTATGGAATTCACTTCCCGGGGAAATTAGGTCATCGACATCCCTCCTCTCATTTAGAAGGAAACTAAAAACATGGATATGGGACGGAGCCTTTGGGTAATCTGGCAGATAGATAAAGGACAATGACGACTGAAATTGATAGGATTTGACAATGTGGAATGAACTACGGATTCTGAGCTGGCGAACGTTGAACATGAGATTGGTTTTTATTGATTGTGATGTATAATTTGACTTTTTTAATCGTTTATAATTGCTGTTGATACATGTTTTATTTTATTGTCTGTTGTTGGCATCGAATTGTGCCTTTTGTAAGCCGCCATGAGTCTCCGCTCGGGGGTTGAAAAGGGTGGGGTAGAAATGTGCGAAATAAATAAATAATAAATACTATGTAGAAAGAAATATACCACAGTTGGCCTTCTGTATCCATTGATTCTCCAACTATGAATTCAATGGCCTTTTGAAGGTAACCATAAGGCTGAGATGGCTCTTAGTGAAAATGAGTTTGACACCCCTGCTTAAGCAAAGTCATAAGACCAGCCTGGTTGGTATTTCTAAGGACATCAAAATTGATAGAGAGAATGATTAAAATGCCGGAAAACTGTGTCTGCATGCACAAGCAATTGTGTACACCCAGCCACCCATAATTCTTCCCTTTGCAAAGTCAAATTTATGTCTGCACAAGGAATGGTGTATGTCACAAAGGGATTGAAAAATAAACGTACAATGTTGCTTGCTCAAAAGATACTTGAATTTGAGAGATTAAACACTTACATAATTCTGGCAGCCTTTGCAGCCTTCATAAATATTAATAAGCAATATACAGAAGTCTCTTAAGAAGGGGAGGCATAGAAAGAGCAGCACAAGGCCCTAAAATGAACATGTCAGGCTTTCAGCTGTGAACAGAACTCAAGTTTCCCAGGTGCCAATCCTGTATTCAGAAAGATTCTTTTTAACACAGATTTGGTATTCTGGTGAATGAATTAAGGGGGACAGACATCTCACACTCAGATAGCTCATTTTCAATGGAGACAGTCTCATTTCCAACTTCACTCAGTTTTCAGGGGTCACCTTTTGCACACATTTCCTGTGTACATCGTTTTTCTCTGGCTTCATTAAGACCATTCCCACAGTAAGCAATCCAAGAATAAAGAAAAATAGAAATTACATAATTATAAGTTGTGCGTATTAGAGTAAAAGCAATTTCTGAACGGATGCATTAAAACTGCATGAGCAAGAGCCAGCAATTGGCATACCTACCTTGTTAATGTGCAGCTGCTGCTGCTGAAATTGCTGTTTGTGTTTTTCCAGGAACTGCTGATGCTGTTGCTGGATCACTAATTGCTGGAGGGCCTGTGCATTCTGGGGGAGAGGAGCAGACTGCGTGCGCCCCAGGGGGCGGTGCTGCCGCAGTTTGTGGATGGAGGGAGAGAGCCTGTCCGCACCCACCAGGGACTGCGCATGGAGGGGGAGTGCCCCAAGTCCTGAAAGATACCAGTCTGAAGATAATACGGAGGAAAACAGTGAAGAAGAAGAAGAAAAAAGAAGAGGAGGAGGAGAGGAAGGGAGAAAAGCCTTTTCAGTAATTCTCACAGCAACAGTAATGTGCCCTATGAAGCCAAATATGTCAGTGCTCCTGGAAAGTGGCTGATCTTGAAAAATGAATGTCACAAAGCTAAAGTCTGCACTCCCATGGAATAGGGCTAAACAATTAGACACAATTTGCGGAATGCATACTAATATTAGTTGAGCAAAACTGCTCCGCATGAAACGACAGCCTTTGGTTTCTAATGACAAGTACCATCACAATAAATGACAAATGTCATCAGCTCAGCAAAGAATGGATAATGTTATCAGTTTGCATTGGCAGAGTTCATTCATCTGCTGTTGCACAAAGTCTGAAATGATTTCCAGAGAGGTAAATTCTGCTTTTTTTTTCATTGTTGTGAGGGACATGGAAGTGGTTTAGTAGAAGGGAAACCTCTCCTTTATCTCACTGGAGCTGAGAGGGTCATTCAACTGTACAACTAAAGAAGGTTTTTAAGATCAAGTCAGAGTGCCGTGTTTTAGCCAATTTTTTTCTATGTTAGGAGTGACTTGAGAGTCTGCAAGTCACTTCTGGTGTGAGAGAATTAGCCATCTGCAAAGACATTGTCCAGCGGATGCTCTGTGAGTCTCCCTCGGGGTGAGAAAAGCGGTATACAAATACTGTAAATAAATAAATAAATGCTCGAATGTTCGATGTTTCACCATTCTTGTGGAAGGATTCTTCCTTCCAGTGTCGCAGATGGACGATGAAAGCGACAGCTCCCCTGGCGGCCAGAAAAAGTTAAATAGCCTCTGTGTATGTCTGTACATGTTGTATGTCAAAATTGGCATTGAATGTTTGCCATATATGTGTACACTGTAATCCGCCCTGAGTCCTCTGCGGGGTGAGAAGGGCGGAATATAAATACTGTAAATAAATAAATAAATAAATAAATAAATAAATAAATAAATAATTCTCTCATGTCCCCACATGGGGAGCTGTTTTTAGCCATGAATAGGTTTTTACCTATTTTTAACTGTTTATTTTTAAATGCTTAATTCCATTTTAATGTTTGTATATTTTAGATTTTTATTGTTTTGTACTGGTTTTATTGTCAGTAACTTTGAGTCTCTTTTTTAGAGAGAAAACATGGGACATAAATAAAAATAATCATAATAACTAGGAGTAGCCAGAACTGCTATCAACATACAGTTATATGACAGTCCATGTAATACTGTATGGACATCAAGCCTATATACACTTGAGCCTCATACCTAAATTCTTCATTTTTATTTTTCTACTTGTTTCTTTCTTTTATGCATTTATCAAGATTACTAAACTATAGTTTATAATAATACTGAAACTGTATTATGGATACACTGCTTGGAAATATGTGAAATCAACTGAAACTTGGTTTTAGGTCCTTATGTATTCTGGCAAGCACTGTTTTCTACTTTGGACACAACAACATAGTTGATTACCCTATAAACACTGTAATCATGGCACATTGAGAACAAAGCAAGGAAGGCAGGACTGAGTATATACACAATAATTATGGATCCTGTAGCTTATTAAATCAAATGCATCTAAATATTCTGGATTTTTCATTATAACCATGTGCAAACTCACCATGTTTACCTAACAGAAGTCAGTTATTCTCACCTGGGACTAAGGGAGTTTGAGCCGACGGTTGTTCCAGTAAGACCATATGTTGGAGTAGAGGGTTATGTGCATTTCCCCCATCCCTGTCCACTGTGGTGCTGCTCAAATAAGGAGGAATATGAGTACCAGGAAATATGGAGATTCGTTGTTGTAATGGGGGAAGAGCAAGTCTTTCAGCGTCCTGCTGTCCTGATCCACCCTGCAAGAATGTAGTCAGTAATATACTTAACTAATGAATACAGTTGATATAACCATAATGCCCTCCCCGCCCCATATGCATTAATCCACACTTACACTGGATGGAGCAGTTGCAGGCAGTCCTAGCGTTATATTGGGCAAGGAGGGAGATGTGTACAATGGAAGCTGTGTTACTGAGCCTTCGCGATTCGCAAGTCTATGAGCTAGGTTGGTCTGAAATGAGAATCAAAACTATTGCCTCAGAAGAGATGACAGCAACATAATACAAAAACCAAAACCTTGTATCGAAGAATTGTTAGCATTTTTCACTACTTTGAAAGTGTTTGCGCCTGCATTCATCATGTCTGTCGATTTATGACACCCCCATGAATATAATAAGGTTTCTTTTTTCCAGCAAGGAATATTCAGAGGTGGTTTTGCCAGTTCCTTCCTCTGATATACACCCTACTGCACCCGATAATTTCTCATCCAATTATTAACCAGGATTGGCCTACTTAGCTTCCAAGATCAGAGGAAATCTGGTGCCCTTAATTTAACTAGTTGGTATTAAATTTCAACAAATACAAAATGAAATTACATTGGCTATCTATACAAAGTCACTAAGTAAGCAATACCATATGGATGTGACTAGCTACCATTATAGGACAATGTTATTTTGTCTACCTGCCATCAGATGATGCTCAACAAGATTAATCACTACTGCACCAATGTTGTACAACTTCAGTTTTACTGTAATTTTTGCACAACTAGGCTCTTCCTTGCATTATCTTTTATTTACGAGAATATATTAATATCTCATAGTTCAGGTTAAGTATTTCATCACATATTTTAGTTTAAGCAGCAGAACACCCAGAAGTATGATGTAAGCCTGTAGTCTTAATACTTTGCGCAGACATTGTACTTTTTATTCTAAGAAGACCAGTTACACTACTGTCCTCCTCATCTTCAGGAACTGAAATTTTGTAAATGAGACCCAATGTTTGGTATTCCCACCTGTAACAACATCATTCTTTACCAACCAATTTTATTCCTGGGGAGATGGGGGGAACCTATGGTATAACTTAAAGAGGAGAATTAGTAAATATTGTAAAGAAAATATTCATTGCTGAAAACAGAGCACAGCATTGACTTGTAGAGGAAAGATATGTGCCGAGTAGTATGGATATCAAGGAAAGCAATCTGTTGGTGTTAGATTATCTGAAAAAATATTGTGTTTACACATACATGAAGCTCTACATGAAGCTCATGGATCATACAGCATTCATCCCTCATAAAGATTTATCAGATAAGCACAATATTTGTCATAAAGAATACTGAAATAGGTTTGGTTCTTGTGCTTTCTTTCAGCAAAGTATTATTAAAAATCTATTTGGCTATCCTGCCTTTGTCAAACCATTATTTTACCATGTTTCAGGTCCTGTCTTATAAAACCTTCAAATTCATTAACACTACAGAGTAATGTATTGTTTTATAATTGTTGAGTATTATTATTTTTCATCACATCCCATATTTACTTTTTTATTTGAGAATGAGTTCAGTATAGCACCACACTTTGGGGCTAGAAGAGAGGGTGCTCAAATTTTTGTACAGTGGCACTTATTTCACATGCCAGTAAGGTAATGCTCAATATCCTGCAAGGAAGACTCCAGCAATACATGGAGAGAGATGTCAGATGTACAAGCTGGGTTTAGAAAAGGCAGAGGAACGAGAGACCAAATTGCCAATATCCACTGGATAATGGAGAAAGGCAAAACATCTATTTCTGTTTTATTGACTATCTAAAGCCACAGTCTTCTCAGATACTCCTTAATCCATTCCTTCTGAATGAATCGCCACATTGTTTTCAGACTATTGTTTTCAAGCTATATTGCTATGTGGGATATGTTGATAATCCCACTCTAACAGTTTTTATCACTTCCCAATACATTTATATTAGAAAATAAATCTGTTGGTCTATTTTCTGTACACCCTATCTGGTATATCCTTAATAGAATTATTATCTTAAATCCACTCATCAGAGATAATAGTTTCCCAGCACTAAGTGTATTAAGAAAATCTCATAGTTGTTGTTCCGATCGGTTGTTGAATGGAAGTGAGATTCAGCACACGGTATGAAGAAACAACTATGCGCCCACAGGTGAAGAGCGGTATTCCCTCCTTGGGCACTTTGTGCTGTGTATATCTCCAAAGTCGTACTTAGTCATGTTTTGTTAAACTATGCCAAATGATGTTTTTGTAGGTGTCAATGGCATGAAGGCACTTGAGGTAGAAGTATTTGCTTGATGCTTGTGTTTTATAGCCAATAGATTCAAACCAAAAACACTAGCCTGCTGAGTCTAAGGCCCCTTCTACACTGCCATATAAAATCCAGATTATCTGCTTTGAATTGGATGATATGACAGTGTAGACTCATATAATCCAGTTCAAAACAGATAATGTGGATTGTTTACTTTGAAAATCTAGATGATAAGGCAGTGTAGAAGAGACCTAAGAATGCCTCTTATAAGAGGTGGTTTGGAAGAGGGAACTATGCAACTGATGCTGAAAAATATCATAATGCAAGTAGTTATAAATATACTCTTGTTATCTTTTCTTGGAGATATAACAAGTAACATTCTGTGTTATGTTTCAAAAGGAGGTATGCTGAGCAGAAAAGTTGTGAATGTCTTAAAAGCTTTCATAAACATTGGTTGGCATTCTGTTATTGTCTGAAAAGGTTTAGGTTGAGGTTATGTATGCAGAAGCAATTTTGTTTGCTTGTTGCTGATGTTAGAGGGTTTTTTTTTAACATACTTCATATGACAACCTTTCTAAAAACCACCTTTTATTGGCTGCAGCTATTCAAACACGGGAATTAAGTATGAAGTAGAGAGCAGGGATGACAACAGAGAAGCATGCTCCTACAAATACAAATATAGGAACATGCTATACATGGACACACAACAATGATCTTGAGGTGTGCAGGGGACACGCAAGAGGACCTGGAGGATGCTTCATTGCTGTGCACTCTCTCACAGAAATATAGCTAGATACTTGTCTACCACACACATGCTTCCAGCAACCACTAAACTTTCATGTTGGAGGAAGATGCAGCAGGTTAAAAAGTGTGATTTGGAGAGCTGAAAAAGAAGACATGGTATAATTCTCCCTGGCTGAACTTTATGTTATGTTTCCCTGATCCAAGCTACAGAATAATTCAACTTTTTATTTTATAAAAATATGAATAGGTTCTTTGCATTTTCCATTTATAAACTGAAAGATTAGTAACAACAAAAGTAGCATACCTGCTCTCTGTAATTTATATAGTTGGCCCTATCTCTATTCATGGATTCAGCCATTTACATCTTTATATATATATATATTATACACACACACACACACACATATATATATACATACACACACACACACACACACACAATCCAAAAGCATAGCTTGATTTTAACATTGTATGTAAGAGACACCATTCCACTATGCCACTGCATATAAGGGGATTCAAACATCCATGGATTTTTGTATCCATGAGGAGAGTGTCCTGGAAGCAACCCCAGTACACAGTAAGGGCCCGGTATACTCCAACTGTGGATACTGTGGAGAGAAATACATTCACATTAAGCAAGGCTATGTGTCTTACCTCAGCCTGGATATTTGCAACTGATGGAGTAATTCCATTCTCAGCACTTATATTACTGGAACTATTGTTTGGAGAACTAGGGCCAGATCCAGGAGCACTGTTGCATGATGAGTCTAAAACACATTCAAAACCATTTACTAGTACCATTGTCATTTTAGATTATAGTTGGATACTGAGTACTGAAATTGCTATTTTTCTATAAGCGTGGCAATTCTTTCACAGAAGGGCACATAAAAAACAAAATGCAAAAGAACACATATTATGTCTATGCATGGGTGCGTAGGAGCTTTTCTGTTGTGGGAATGGATTTCATCCCCTCTGAAAGGGCCACAGGCCTGTTCAGACTCCTACCAGTCTGGTTGTATGCATCAAAGAATAAGAAACAGATGTTGCTATTACGGGTACACAAACCTCAATCTAATTGTTCTTCTTTACAGTTTGGCTAGGTCAAAACAACACCAGTAATGCAAAAGGAAGAGGCGAGAGGCCTAAGATCCCCAAGATTCTGGTTATTATTGTTCTGAAGGAATTTGGGTTCAAAATGTAGTATCAATTTCACACAGATCAGCTGCAGAGTTCCTATGAGGGGAAATCCACTCACAAGCCCTGCTATACCAAGCTGAAATATGACTCTTCGAAACAATATGCTAAGTGCTGGGCAGCTGGGGGAGAGAAGATTGAAGAAATCAATGAAAGCTGCCTTTTCTTTCTAGATTAGTGTTCCCCACTTCAAATTAATACATCACTCCTTACTACCTGTTAATTAGGGGGAATTTTACATGATCCCCCAGAAATGCTTCATTTACATCTCCCAGAAGCCCTAGCCAGAATAACTAAAGGTGAGGAATGCTGGGAGTTAAAGTTCAGCAACATTTTTACAATGGGAGCTAATGTTGAGTCTCAGTCAATTCCACAAATGGGAAGAAAACTTCCATTTCCAGATAGAATGACCTAGATCAGACATCTTTAAACTGCAGCCCTCCAGTTTGGGCCTCCAACTCCCAGAATTCCTGACCATTGTACAAGCTTGCTAAGGCTTCTGGGTATTGGAGGCCCAAACAGATGGAGGGCCACAGTTTGAGGATGCGTGATCTAGAGCTAACTGCAGAATCTAAGTATAGTAACTGCCAGAGATGTAGGGGACTGAAAGTATTCTTTGATACATTATGAAAATACCTATGGTCTAATATTTAGGAGAAACTACTGCTATTCATCATGAAATAATGTCAAGTAACTGTAAAACTCTATTCTTATACAGCAACATATCAGAATCTAGTGATAATCTTCAAATTGATCAATAGGGGAAAAGGTTAAGGGAAGCTAGAGAACTTGCTGAAAGTTTGCCACTACTCATAGGAAGGAGAATGAGCAAAAACTCAGCAATTGTCACAGCTACCTTAATCCTACCTAATGTTTATACCATTTATCTAAACATTTTGAAATTTAGAGGTATTAAATTAACTGTTACCTCCACAACTTACCTGTGACATCTAATGGACGCTTTTTAAGCGCTGTAACTACAGGCCCATCTTTTCGCCGTAATAAAGGGCTACTGCGCCTTTCAGCAACCTTTTGCTTCAACCTGGATCGTAATTTGAGATTAGGTTCAGATGCTGGAATAAGAGAACAAACACGTTTATTCTAAATAAGGGAATCTTCCAGTACTTGAACAAAATGTGCTGAAATCATAGCATACATGTAAATCAACCAAAACAGTAACTCAAAAATACAAATTTAGACTAAAATAGCCAGCAAACATTAGCCAGCAAACTAATGATTCAAAATATGTGGGAAGTATTTATTGCAGTATAAATCTGTGTGAGTAAAGTAGAGAGGGGCCATGAAGGCAGTTCCATCTTGCCTCCAGAATCATCAATTGGGAGCCCCCCTCTAGCACCAACCGCTGCTCTGAGATCAGAGTGAAGAGAGGGGCCAGGAAGACAGTTCCATCTTGTCTCCAGAATCATCAATTGGGAGCCCCCCCCAGCACCAACCGCTGCTCTGAGATCAGAGTGAAGATAATGTAATACAATATAATACTACTAATGATATGATATTATAATTATATATTTTATATTAAATATAATATTACTAATAATATTACAGTATAAGGTTATAGTACAATGTACTATATAATATTAAAATAGCTTTTTTGTATGCATGGATTTTATATTGTAGCCAAAAGTACTCTCGTCGTTCATTCGTTCAGTCACTTCCAACTCTTCATGACATCATGGACCAGCCCACACCCGAGCTCCCTGTCAGCCATCACCACCCCCAGCTCCTTCAAGGTCAAGCCAGTCACTTCAATGATTCCATCCATCCATCTTACCCTTGGTTGACCCCTCTTCCTTTTCCCTTCCACTTTCCCCAGCATAATTGTCTTCTCTAAGCTTTGCTGTCTCCTCATGATGTGGCCAAAGTACTTCAACTTTGTCTCTAGTATCTTTCCCTCCAGTGAGCAGTCGGGCTTTATTTCCTGGAGGATGGACTGGTTGGATCTTCTCGCAGTCCAAGGCACTCTCAGCACTTTCCTCCAACACCACAGCTCAAAAGCATCGATCTTCCTTCGCTCAGCCTTCCCTAAGGTCCAGCTCTCACATCCGTAGGTTACTACAGGGAATACCATGGCCTTGACTAGGCGGATCTTTGTTGCAAGTCTGATGTCTCTACTCTTCACTATTTTATCGAGACTGGACATTGCTCTCCTCCCAAGAAGTAAGCGTCTTCTGATTTCCTGGCCACAGTCTGCATCTGCAGTAATCTTTGCACCTAGAAATACAAAGTCTGTCACAGCCTCCACGGTTTCTCCCTCTATTTTCCAGTTGTCAATCATTCTTGTTGCCATAATCTTGGTTTTTTTTGATGTTTAGCTGCAACCCGGCTTTTGCGCTTTCTTCTTTCACCTTGATTAGAAGGCTCCTCAGCTCCTCCTCGCTTTCGGCCATCAGAGTGGTGTCATCTGCATATCTTAGGTTGTTAATGTTTCTTCCAGCAATTTTCACCCCAGCTTTGCATTCATCAAGCCCCGCACATCGCATGATGTGTTCTGCATACAAGTTAAAAAGGTTGGGTGAGAGTATCAGCCTTGCCGTATGCCTTTCCCAATCTTGAACCAGTCTGTTGTTCCGTGGTCGGTTCTTACTGTTGCTACTTGGTCCTTGTACAGATTCCTCAGGAGAGAGACAAGGTGGCTTGGGATGCCCATCCCACCAAGAACTTGCCACATTTATTATGATCCACACAGTCAAAGGCTTTAGAGTAGTCAATGAAGCAGAAATATATGTTTTTCTGAAACTCCCTGCCTTTCTCCATTATCCAGCGGATATTGGCAATCTGGTCTCTCGTTCCTCTGCCTTTTCTAAACCCAGCTTGAACATCTGGCAACTCTCGCTCCATGTATTGCTGGAGTCTTCCTTGCAGGATCTTGAGCATTACCTTACTGGCATGAGAATTAAGGGCCACTGTACGGAAGGTTGAGCAGTCTTTCGCATTTCCCTTTTTTGGTATGGGGATATAAGTTGATTTTTTCCAGTCTGATGGCCATTCTTGTGTTTTCCATATTTGCTGGCATATGGCATGCATCACCTTGACAGCATCATCTCTTTTAAGATTTTAAACAGTTCAGCTGGGATCCCGTCGTCTCCTGCTGCCTTGTTGTTAGCAATGCTTCTTAAGGCTCATTCAACTTCACTCCTCAGGATGTCTGGTTCTAATTCATTCACCACACCGTCATAACTATCCTCAATATTATTATCCTTCCTATACAGATCTTCTGTATAGTCTCGCCACCTTCTCTTGATCTCTTCAGCTTCTGTTAGGTCCCTGCCATCTTTGTTTCTTATCATACCAATTTTTGCCTGAAATTTACCTCCAATGTTTCTAATTTTCTGAAGAGGTCTCTTGTCTTTCCTATTCTGTTGTCTTCTTCCACTTCCATGCATTGCTTATTTAAAAATAGTTCCTTATCTCTTCTGGCTAACCTCTGGAATTGCGCATTTAACTGGGCATATCTCCCCTTACTATCACTGTTTCCTTTTGCTTTCCCTCCTTTCTTGGGCTACTTCCAGTGTCTCAGCAGACAACCATTTTGCCTTCTTGGTTTTCTTTTTCTTTGGAACGTACTTTGTTGCCGCCTCCTGAACAATGTTGCGGACTTCCGTCCATAGTTCTTCTGGGACTCTGTTTACTAAATCTAGTCCTTCAAATCTGTTCTTCACTTCCACTGTATATTCGCTAGGAATGTTAGTGAGATCATATCTAACTGTCTGTGTATTTTCCCTGATCTCTTTAGTTTTATTCTAAATTGGGCAATAAGAAGTTCGTGATCTGAGCTACAGTCAGCCCCAGGTCTTGTTTTCACCGACTGGATGGATGTCCGCCACCTTTGGCTGCAAAGGATGTAGTCAATCTGATTTCGGCTGACCATCTGGTGAAGTCCATGTGTAAAGCCGTCTTTTAGGTTGTTGGAAGAGAGTATTTGTTATACACAGCGAGTTTTCCTGGCAAAATTCTATCAGCCTGCGTCCTGCTTGATTTTGTTGTCCCAGACCATGTTTGCCTGTGATCCCATTTGTCATTTGACTTCCCACCTTGGCATTCCAGTCTCCTGTAATGAAAATAATGTCTCTTTTTGGTGTATTATCCAGTAGGTCCTGCAGATCCTCATAGAACTGATCTACTTCTGCTTCTTCAGCAGCTGTGGTTGGGGCGTATATTTGGATCACTGTAATGTTGAAAGGCTTTCCTTGCACTCGAATTGAGATCATTCTGTCACTTTTTGGGTTGTATCCAAGCACCGCTTTATAGTACAATGTATCATGTGATATTAATATTGTGATATGATAATAATATAATATATTGTATTTACATTTTACTTGGAAGCCATTCTGAGGCCCCTTCGGGGTGAGAAGGGAGGCATATAAATATTGTAAATAAATAAACAGATTATTAAACAAAATAAGGGCAACCTAATGCCTAGGAAATTTCAAATGCTATAATAATGCTAATTCTTGAAAAATGTAAGAGTTTGGGTTGATCAGCCTAAAGACTAGCTTGCTGAACATTTTCTTCCCATTCAGACACTTATGGGAATCCCACAAACTGGCCATGAGCAGTCCTCTCACTGTTGTTTCCTATCAACATCTTTCCAACTAGTTGTTGCCCCAGTCCTGGAGGCTGAATCATAGCTATCAGTGATCTCCATTTAACGTATCCTCTTCTCATGAGGCTGGAGACATTAATCTGCATCCAAAAAAGAGTCAACCCATGCCTACTTAAAAGGATATCTCACTGAACCCCTTTCTAAATCTTTAGTCAGTTTAGTTCTCTCAGAGGGCTGAGCACTTTGATATCTATACAAAGTTTCCCTAAATCTCCATGCTCGTAATTCCTTCCGTCTTTGATTTTCTTTTTTGTCTTCCCCTTCCCACTCCTCATATTCTGCTTTTTGTCTTTCTTCAGTGGATCACACAATTTGAAGAGAGCTGGAACTCTGAACCCAGCCATCCCTATTTAAAAGGTAAGCTTGGGATAACTCCCATTAAATAAGCAAAGCATGTACTCCACCACTGATCTTTGCAGATCATGCTTCTTGATAGAAAATGGAGAAGCAGAGAAAATTAAGTGATGCAACTTTGCAGAAAAAATCTACATATGTTCAGAGGCACTGTTGATTCACTGTTCTCTGACCAGTCACTTTTTGGTGCAGTAGATTAGTGTTCCCCACTTCAAACATCACTCCTTACTACCTGTTAATTAGGGGGAATTTTACATGATCCCCCAGAAATGCTTCATTTACATCTCCCAGAAGCCCTAGCCAGAATAACTAAAGGTGAGGAATGCTGGGAGTTAAAGTTCAGCAACATATGGAAGGCCACATTATTTCCCCCATCTAAAGAGCTGTCTTTTTAAACTTGTAATAATTGAGGTATTTGTAAGGGAAATCAACAACATAGATGTTAGAAAGGATTGGGGAGGTTGTAAACAGAGGAGATGCAGATTTTTTTTTAAAAAAAAAAAGAACTGAAGATATTGTATAAGATGATATCCCAGACTTTTAAGGCAGCCTTTTCCAATCTGCTGTTTTCCAGACATGTTCAATTACCATGATCCTTCAGTAGCAATCATTTTATGGGCTTTGTAGTTCTGGGTTCAATTTCCAAGCTGGGTAAGGAAACTTTAAAATGAAAAAAAAAAAAAGTTTTCTATTTTCTGAGCAGCAATAACAAGGTCAATGGGGACAGCTCCCATGGCAACCTCTGTAAATATCCTGTTCTGCTCTATAAACTAACACTTTAATAGCAATTTAATTAAAAATAGATTGAGTGATTAAATTATTCTACTTATTTATCTTGACAGTAGTAACTATAACAATGATGAACTTCCCAATTACTGAATTAATTTTCAAACCTAACATTGCAACCTCTGAGTAACTGCATATTTATTTATTTACTTCATTTGTATACTGCTTTTCTCAGCCCTTAGCAGACTCAAAGCGGTTAACAATAGCAAAAATTCAATGCTAAACATCATAAAAACAGTTAAAAATTAATTAAAACAATAACATAATAAACAATTAAACATCAATATAACATCTCATTAGCATCTCATA